ACGCGACCTTCCCCGCTCCAAATTGTTCAAGGACTCCTAGGGGCTATGCAGACAGGCGTTTCCCGTCGAGACTGAGACCAGAGCACAGGTGCAAGCCAGGCAAGGGACTCATACACCCTGTGCATGAGAACCGGGGCAGCCCACCAGCCGGCCAGCCTGCCCTCCCACCGAACCTGCGGCCTCCACTGCCTGGAACCTCCGGTCAGACCACGCAGGCTGCCGGAGAAGGTCAGCATCCTGCAAAAGAAGATGCGGGGTCCGCCCCTACTCCCGTTCCCTCCCCGCCCCCCGCCCCCGCCCCTTTCTAGTTGGTTTTTTGGGCCCAGTGCAAATCTGCCGCTACCTCTACCTTGGCGCTGGGCATCGAGGACTCTTTGTAAGGGGCAGGTATTTCCAAGCCAAGGAATGCCAGAGTCTGTTGGCACCTGTTTTCAAATACTGCCCTGGCTCACTTGCCTTCCATTTATATAACTTAAGGAGACTCCGGAGATAATAAGGCAAATCTGTTTCAAGGTGACTTAAGGTCTCCATTTGGAGACAGAGGAGCAGCTGGCATAATTCTAAGTTTCCGCCTGAGCAGGCACTTCCATTACCCTCAGAACCTCCATGACTGGTTTCTGGAAAGATCAACTTCAGCGAGGAGCGCGGGGGAGGGGTGGCGGCTTCAGCCTGAGCCCTCTGCTGCCCCCCAACCCCCTCCAGTGATGGAGTGGGAAGGTGCCGCCCTCTTCCGCTGGGCTCCCCCTCGGCCCCGTGGGGCCGCTCCCGACCTTCCCAAGGCAAAACTTCTGCTGTGCTTGCCGCAGTGGCTTAGGCACACGGCAGGTGGTCAGTTCCAATTTGCAAAATGGCTCTCCATTCTAGCCGGGGGGGGGGGGGGGGTGGCCCAAAAGAGAGGTTTTAAGGCACCTTTGCACTACCTTTACAAATCCTGCCTGCCTTCTTCCATGATGCATTGACTGTGAAAGTGACCCCAATATTGTAGCAGCACCCCACCCCCACCACCCTGGATCCATGACTCCAGAGACGGACCTTACAACATCTCTCATCAAGATGTGGCAAGTGGGTCCAGCACAAAGACTCAGTGGCTAAATTCCTAGCCTTGCACGCTTGGAATCCCATATGGGTGCCAGTTCACATCCTGGCTGCTCCACTTCTCATCCAGCTCCCTGCCTGTGGCCTGGGAGAGCAGTCAAGGATGGCCCAAAGCCTTGGGACCCTGTACCCTGGTGGGAGACGCCGAAGAAGCTCCTGGCTCCTGGCTTCCAGTCGGCTCAGCTCTGGCCATTGCAGCCACTTGGGGAGTAAACCAGCAGATGAAAGGTGTTTCTCTCTGTCTCTCCTCTTCTCTGTACATGTGGCTTTCCAATAAAAAATTTAAAACCTGGTGTGGCAAGTGCTTCCCATTCCCTGGCGCTGAACTGGCCTTGTGACTGTGATTAGTAGCAGGTGGTAATTCTGAATCAGAAGTTGGGCCCCAAGAGATGCATTAACTTTTCTCTCTCCCCCTCAGATGCTCGGGCCAGGCCGCTGTGCCATGAAAGAGTGCCTGTACCATCTGGAGCTAAGCAGGTCAGCCAAACTGTTCCAGGCAACTCTCCCAACGTGTTAGAGTCCTACTGAGTTCAGCCAAAGCTGCTCGGGGGACAGACAGCTGCTGTGCCAGTTATTACCCGAGGAAGCCCTGCCGAGCCCACTTCCCTCCAGCTCACAGACCCAGGAGCACTCAGTCCTGCGAGGCTGCTGCTTGAAGCCACTCCATTTGAAAGTGGCTTCTCACACAGCAACAGGGAAGCCATGCACTTGCTAACTTCACTTTTGCACACCTGGACTTGCTCACTCATCCAGCTGGGCAGTGGCTAAATCCTGCGGGTTATTTCCTGCACCCTCTGCCCACTCCCTGGGGCTTTGCTTTAGGAAAGCAAGCAGCCAGGGAGGGTCCTTTGTGGTGGACACTAGAAGTGAGCAGAGAGAACCTGCAACACCAGGGGGGCTGCTGAATGATCTCTCATTTTTTTTTTTCTTAAACATTTCCCTCCTTTCTTTTGAATCGATCACTAGGATTGCTGTTTGGCTGTTAATAGGAGCTTCCTTCTCATCTCCTAAGGCCGACTCAGTCAGTCTTTCTTCATGGAGCCCTCCCCCCATGGGGTATTCCCTCACCAGGTCAACCTGAGTGTTAGCATCCTTTGACTTTAAGCATTGGCCTAATCCATCTGTTTCGGCTCAAAATTGCCATGCCTTAGAAACAGGGTGTTGTTGTTGTTGGTGGTGGTGGTGATGTTACATTTTCTTCTAACACCCAGAGTTACTGATGAGAATCTGAGGCCAGTTGCATCTCCCCTGCACCCACCTCCTCTTGGGTGGTGATAGGATATTTCATCATCCTTTTAAAAATTATGTATGTATTTGAAAGGTAGAGTTGCAGAGAGACAAAGAGATTTTTCATTTGCTGGTACTTCTCAAATGGCCACAATAGCTGGGACCAGGTCTGGCTGAAGCCAGGAGCCTTAGCTGGGGCTCCCAGGTGGGCAGTGTTGGAGGTCCAGGAATTTGGGTCATCTTTTGCTGGTTTCCCAAGCACCTTTGCAGAGAGTCACGTTAAACGCTTGCTCTTGGGGGCCCTTAAAACTGAATGTTGTGGGCAATAGGGTCCCTGGTGGGGCTGATCCCACGCTCTCCCCTGCTAAGGTAAAAGATTTCAAGGAGTCCCAAGGTGCAAAGGGTGGTGTCCTGCCTGAACATTCAGATGGGGCTGCAGTGGTGTGGTGCATGATGGGAAGTGAGGCTCAAGTATGTGATGAGGAATGGCTGTGCTGAGTCTGGGTCAGCGTGGAAGGGGGCGTGGGGTTTGGGTGTGCAGGACTGCAGCACGCAGGCTGCTGGCCGTCTCAGTTCCCTGCCCGTCCACACCAGGAAGCCCTGTGTGCTTTGGTTCTGGAGGACTGCCTTCCATTGTTGGTTGACCAGGTTCCTGTCCATTTTTCTTTGTCCTCTACCTTTGGGGCTCCCATTAGATGTTGGCTGCCTCGGGTGTCTTCAGGGCCTAGGGAAGCATTCCGTGGTTCTCACAGAGAACAAGAAGCCTTGCCCACAGCCATTCCCATGCAGGCTAACTGGCCAAGACCAGCTACATGCAACATGGTCTCCCCAGCAATCTTCAGAAGGCCACAGATGCCATTTTAGCCTAATTCTCAGGTTAAGTGATACACCCACCTGTGCCAGGACTGTAATGGTTACCAGGACAACCACTGGAAGGGGCCGTAAAGGGACCAAAAAGGAGAGTTCTTTGATGCCAAGAAAGACGCAGCCTTGGAAACGTGTGAATTTCCCCATGAAGAGCAGAGTTGTTCTGGCTGCTCCAGGGCCCCACACCTGTGACTGCCCCCAGCACATCCAGCTCCTCCTCTCCCTTCCAGCTCCTCCTCTCCCTTACTGGTCCCCTGACTAAAGCCTGTGCTGTTGACGCTGTTCGGCCCACGGGACAGAGAGGATTCTACCCAGCAAAAGGGGGTCTCAAAAGGAGGGCTGACATTTTCAAACTCATGGAACAGTTTTCTGGGCTTCTCTCACTGCCACATTGTCTGCCTTTTCCCTAATTGTTCCATATCATGGGATCCTTCCAGACGTAGGCACATGCATGCTCATGTGTGTATTCCTGTGTGTAGATGCATAGTTGTTGCACAGATATTATAGTATTTTCATAAATATGGAAACATAGTTGAAGAGTTTTGCCTAGTTTCATAACACATTCTTTTTATAGCATCATATTTCTGTTTCATTGATTCAAGATCTGCTTTTCTTTTTTTTTTTAAGATTTATTTGCTTTTATTGCAAAGTCAGATATACAGAGAAAAGAGGCAGAAAAGATCTTCTTTCTGTTTCCCACACGGGTGCAGGGTCCCAAGGCTTTGGGCCATCCTTGACTGCTCTCCCGGGCCACAAGCAGGGAGCTGGATGAGAAGTGGAGCTGCCGGGATTAGAACTGGCACCCATATGGGATCCCAGGCATGCAAGGCTAGGATTAAAATTAAGAAGTCGGAGAAGCCCTGGTCTGGGCGCTATCATAAATTCTTCAATTAGTTGTAAAGGGGAAGCATGAACATTATTTTTTTTTTAAAAAAAGTCCTGACATCCATCTGCAAATGTAAAGTAATGCCTGCCTCCCAAATAACCAACGCTAAAGGGAAAATTTAAAAAGGATGAAAAATTCTGAATGGATTTTAAATTATTTTCATGAAAAAAACTACTTATAAATAAATGATGGCAAAAAAGAACAGATTAAAAACCATCAGGGGAGCCAAAGCAATCATGTAGAGGAAAATTCATAGCCTCATTACATTTTTAAACAAAAAGGAAAGAAGCTTAAGGTACAGATAAGATGGAGCATAGTATCATTTCAGGGAGAAGTACTCCCACCTAGGGTTAACGGGACTCGAATCTCAGTTCTCCTACAGACCTGGGTAAATGAGGAGCCTGTGCTTCCTCCTCAGCATCCTCACCTGTGAAATGGAGCCTCAGGGCGAGTAACAAGAATAAAGCAGGGTACCTGATCCATGTGGTGGGCCAGCGATCCTGGGTCATTGCTTCAAGTGAGGCAGGCGATTAGCCAGCAGGTGACATCCAGGCGGCCTCTTGCGCAAGCGCGGGAAAACGCGGGGGGGCGGAGCAACATGAGGGACGGGGCACCGCGGGGGCGGGGCAACATGTGGGCGGGGCCTATTGGAGGGGCGGAGCGGCCGGTCGGCGCGTGGGCTTCTGGCCAGTGCCGGGCGTGGACGGGGTGGGCAGCGGCCACGGCCCGTCAGCCACAGCCCCGGCCCCGCTGCCTCAGCCGCCGGCTGCGCCTCAGTTGCTGAGAAGGGCCGAGCCCCACGCGGCCGGCCGGGAGCGACTTCGACGGCCTGGAGCCCCCGCCGCCCCCGCCGCCCGCGTCGCGGGCACCGACCTCTCCCAGGCCGGGGAGGGTGGGCGTCTCGCCCAACCGCCGCCTGGACAGCGTCCGCGGCAAGGCCATGCCGTCGTCCCCGGGGCGCCGCGCCCGCCTCGTGTCCCCGGGCACCAGCCGGCCCTCTGCCGAGGCCCGGGAGGAGCTGCGGCGCCGCCTCCAGGACCTCATCGAGGGCAACCGGGTCATGATCTTCAGCAAGAGCTACTGTCCGCACAGCACGCGGGTAGGCGCGGCGGAGGGGGCCTTCCCTTGGCCTCCACCCGAGGGACCTGGTGTGGTCCTCCCTCCCGAGCCGCCCCTGGGACTCGACCCCGGGTTCCGGAGTGGAGGGGACGCGAAGCGAGGGCCTGGAGCAGCCGGACATTCCGGCCCCTCGGCACATCAGCACTTGACTGAGATCTCTTAGCAAGCTGGGGCTTGTGGGGGAGGAGTGGTAGGGAAGGGACGACTCCCACTGGGGAGAAAGAAAGCTCGGCCGGGTTCCAGGTCCCAGGGCCACGCTGAAGGCTATGCGGATGCTGTGAGTTCACGGGCAGTCTTAGCATGTGACCTCGGCGTCTAGGGTCAGCAGGGAACCCAGCCTTATTTCCTTGGACAGACTGTAAGTTGAAAGAGCAGCGGCTTAGCAATGTGCCTGTGGAGGAGAGTGCACCTGTTGAAGACAGGGACTACCAGCGTGCTGAAATACACTTCACGTGGTTAGAAAGTCCAGCCAAGGGCACCCAGGGAACGATGGGCAGCAGCCTTGTTGGGCTACGGGAAGTGCTAGGCTGTGGTTTTCTAATGGGAGGGCTGATGCTAAAGCAGGTCAGAAATCGCAGTCCGATGGGACGGACGCTGTGGACCTTCCCGGGGCACCTCTGCCGCACCTTGCCCCACTGCCCATCCCCACCCAGGGTAGCCGCTGCCGGAAAGCATGTGTGTCGTTAAGCAGTGCTGTGTCCCTGTGGCAGTGCTGATGATGTAGGCAGAATCGTGTATATTCCGCAGGTGCGTCTTAGAGATGCATACGGGTTGGAAAAGGTAGTTGTGATTCATTGTTTTCTGTGCTGTAACGGCGCCCCGCGGTGAGTCATGCCACTGCTTACTTTGCCATTCTAGTTTTTTTGTTCTTAGAAAACAGAACTGCTGTCAAGGCACTCTTGGGGATTCCTCCTAGCGCAGCTGGTAGGACCCTCCTGTTGATTTTTTAACGCTGACCTGCTAGGTGGTAGGGGACACCTGATTCCTGCCTTACTAAAGCAGTGTCCAGCGAGTTTGCCGAGTAATAGTACCAGTTTCTCCTTCCCAGAGGTAGCTGTTCGTTGTCTTTTGTGCTGTTCTGGCAGTTGGGAAAAGCTAACTCATTGTGTTTTTACTTTTGCATTCCCCTGCTGATGGTCACGTGATCTTGGGTCCTTTGTTTCTTGTTAGGTGATGTTCAAGTCTTCTGCTTATTTCACTGTGGAGTTGCTTTAATTTCTTCCTTTTTTGTTTTTGTTTATGGAATTGATTTTTAGGTGTTCTCTATGTCTTCTGAGTACTAATCCTTTAGTTGTAAAAACTGGAAAATCTTGTAGAATTCCCTTTTCTTTCCACTGTCTTTGGGGAGTCTTGGTTAATTGGAGTTCATGAGTTGAATGTAGCTGAGCTGATCACTTCCGTGCTTTTTGTGGCTTATTTAGAAAATCCCTTCTCATCTGGAGCTTACGCAGCTCCTCGCCAGCTTGCCCCTTCCTGGTGAGAACGGTTGCCATTGAGCTGAATGGAGCTCTAGCTTTGTAGCTCTGTTTTTCCTCCTTATGGCTTATCAATAGCTCCTGCCTTGTGGAGAGCCAGTCTTTTCCATGCTTGTTCGAATACCAACTCATCATCGGACAGGCTGGCACCTAGGTGTGGATCTGTCTGTCTTGGGGTCTGTTTTCTGTCTGTCTGAAAACATCATCTCTCTCTTTTTTAAACATTTATTTGCTGTTACTTGTAAGAGAGATTTACAGCGAGAAGGAAAGATCTGTCTTCTGCTTCACTCCCCAAATGGTCGCCTCATCAGAAGCTAGGAGCCAGGAGCCTCCTCCGGGTCTTCCACACAGGTGCAGGGTCCTAAGGTTTGGGCCGCCTTCCTCTGCTTTTCCAGGCCATGAGCAGGGAGCTGGCTGGGAAGTGGAGCAGCTGGGATTAGAACCGGCGCCCATATGGAATGCTGGTGTTTGGAGGTAGAGTATTAACCTGTTGAGCCACCATGCTTACCCCTTCTGTTTGTGACTTATGAGCTTTCATTTATCGAATCACCAAGAGATCAGGAAACTGGCTGCCTACTGCAGAATCAGCTGGCATGTAACAGTGTGAGGCACATACTATGCACAAAGTCTTAGGTCCATGGTTCTCCACCCTGCGTGTGTGTGTGTCAACGCTTCCGGCGAAGTAGCCACTACCTTGAGTCTCACTCCATGCTTGGACAGCTCTGATGATGGAAAGCAGTCAAAATGTGCCACCTGCCGAGGTGAGCTTTGGGCCAGTGGGCAGCAGTAAGCTCTCTGCCTCTGCAGGGTGGGAGATCTTCCAGTCCTTCCCCTAAGTGCTTTGCTTTCTTTCTTTTTTAAACAAATTTATTTGTTTTTTATTCAAAAGTCAGATTTGTAGAGAAAAGGAGAGAAAGATCTTCAACCCGCTGGTTCACTCCCCAAATGGCTACAATGGCCGGAGCTGAGCTGATCCAAAGCCAGGAGCCAGGTGCTTCTTCAGAGTCTCCCACACGGATACAGGCTCCCAAGGCTTTGGGATGTTCTCTACTACTCTCCCAGGCTACCAGCAGAGAGGTGGGAGGGAAGTGCAGTGGCAGGGATTAGAACCGGTGCCCATATAGGATACTGGGCATGAAAGGTGAGGACTTTAGCCACTAGGCTACCGCACTGGGGCCTCTGAGGTTTTGTTTGTTTTGTCTGGCTGTGCAGCTATACATACTTGCTTATATGAAAGCACTCAGTGACTTGATTCTGTGATATAATCCGTCCCCTCCCCCCTGAAATTTACTGTTTTAACTGCTTTTCAGTATATAGAGTTCAGTGTCAGCACCACTCCTTTTCATCTAACCAAACATGTACCTCCCAGCCCCTGGTGACTACAATCCTATTCGTTTGAGTGTTTTAGGAACCTTTTTTGCATGGAATCCTACAACATCCTTCCTTTTATGCCCTGGCTTACCTCATCCATGCTGCAGCCTGTGTCTGAATGTTCTTGCTTTTTAAGGCTCAGTGGTGATAATTGTATGTAAACGCAATTAGATTTATCCACTCATCTGCAAAGGGACGCTTGACCTGCTTCCACTTTTGGGCGGTTGCTGCCGTGACCACGGGCATCCTAATATCTGTTGGAGTCTCCATTTTTAATTATTTTAGATGTGTGTCTAGAAGTGGAATTTTTGGCTCACAAGATGTTTCTGTTTCTTGGAGAAGCCATCCTTCTGTTTTCCTTAGTGGCTGCACTATTTTGCATTCCCCACAACCGTATGTGAAGGTCCCGGCTTCCCTACATCATGGCCAACACCTGGCATTGGGTTTTGAGAGGGGTTGTATTGAATCTGTGGATTGCCTTGGGCACGGATGATATCATAATAACACAAAGTCTTCTAGTCCACGAACATGCAGTGCTGTTTAATGATATCTTCTTTCATTTCTTTGAACAGCATTTTATAGTCGTTATTATGCAGGTCTTTCACATTTTTGCTCAAGATTATTTTGAAGTATTTAATTCTTCATACTATGATAAACTAAATTTTTCCTTAGTTCTCTGTATTGTTTTTGTTAAGTTGTAGAAAAGCAACTGGTTTTGTGTATGTGTGTCTTAATTTTTCTGTCTTGTAACTTTGCTGAGTGTGTTTAACAGTTGGGGGTGTGTGTGCATGTGTGTGTCTGAGATCATTAATGTTGACATTATACTGCCTGTGGACAGAGATAATTTAGCTGATTTTCAAATTTGAGCATCCTTGTATATATTTTTTTCTGCCTGTTATCCTGGCGAAGACTTCCAGTGCTCTATTGAACAGTGGTAGAAGTGGACGTCTTTTGCTGTTCCTCATCCTAGAGAAAGTGCTTCTGGTCCTTTGTCATCAAGAATGATGTTAGCTGTGGGATTCTCATTTACAGCTTTAATACATGGAGCTTGTTTCCTTTGGTTCCAAGTTTGCTGAGCATCAGCATGTTGTAATTTGGTCCACTAACTCTCTCTCTCTGGAGGGGAATGGGGCCCAAGTGACTGCATCCCTTGACCAAGGAAAAGGGATTGATACAAGGGTAAGTAAAAAAATATCACAAGAATTTCTGTTGATTAATTTTATTTGATAAACAGAAAGAAAGAGACAGAGAGAGGTGGAGAAAGATCTTGCATTCCCTGATTTACTTCCCAGATGTCTGCATCAGCAGAACTCAGGTCAGGCCCGTAGCAGCAGTCTAGAGCAAGTCCAGGTCCCCCACAGAGGTGGTGGGGACCCGGGTACGTGACCCACCAGCTGCTGCCTCTCGGGATGTGTGTTAGTAAGAAGCTGGGGTTGGAACTAGAGCCAGTTCTCGAGCCCAGTCATTCCAGCATGCAATGGGAGCGTCTCAAGGGACATCTTTGTTTTTTTCCTTGTAAGGCCTTATGTACTTGAAAGGACGAGTTACAGAGTCACAGAGGAAGAAAGGAACAGAGAGAGGGAGAGGTGTATTCTTATCTGATGGTATACTCCCCAAATGCCCCTAATGGCTGGGGTTGGAGTCAGGAGCTGCTTTTGGGTCTCGCATGTGGAGTAGGAGGGGTCCAGAGACGTGGGTCATTTTCTGCTGCTTTCCTGGTTGTTTGAGCATGCAGCTGGAACTCAAACCAGTCCCCATGTGGGATGCTTGTGCTGCAGGCTTCAGCTTAACGTGCTGTGCTCTGCTCTGCTCTCCCAGGTGTGTCTAACTGCTGTGCCAAATGCCTAGACTTTCTGTCACTTGGAAATATTTGCTTATTTAAAGGGCAGACGAAGATCTTTGACTCCACAAATGGATGCAATAGCAAGGGCTTGGCCAGGTTAAAGTCAGGAACCTGGAATTCCATCTGGGTCTGCTCACGTGGATGGTTGGCGCCTTCGTTTTGAGGCCACATTAGCTGGGAGCTGGATTGGAAGTGAGGCAGCTGAGACTGGAACCGATACTCTGATATCACCCTTACAAGTGGATGACTTAACTGCATCTCAATGCTGGTCCTTCCTTCTACCACCTTAAGTGTAGCTCCTCCCTCTCTGGCATTATCTAGGTTGCTGTAGCTCCTGGACCGATGCCTTGAGCTCTGCTGGTGTTCTGATCTGTGTCTGTGGAGACTGGGCCTTCCTAGTCCACCATCTTGCTGACATCACTTCCTGACGTTTTGTTTCTGAGATAGTTTTGCTGGCTATGAAACTCTTGGTTACCAATTAAACTTTTTAAATTTTATTAACCATAGAATACATAATTGTACATATTTATGGGGTACAGAGTAATGTTTTTATACATGTGCACATTGTGGAATGATCAAATAAAGGGAATTAGCATCTTGGTACTTCAGACATTCACATTAACATTTTGAAAATTTGGCCAGCATTGTTCTCTGTGAGACGTTGTCTTCTAATCTCTCTCTCTTTTTAAATTTCCTTGTGAATGAAGAAACATTTATCTTCTGTTACTTTGAAAGTCTTTTAATGTGTATTTTGTCAGCATTTTTAATTATGATATGTCTGAGTTTATCCCATTTGGAGATTTTTTTTCTGTGCATGTAATTTACTCTTTTTCACCCAGTTTGGGATCTTCCCAGCCATTATTTGAAACTTCCCTCTGTCCTTTTGCTCTGGGGTGCATCCTGTCTGTGTTGGTCTGTTCAGGCGTCCCACGCTTCTCAGAAGTATGTCCTTTGATTGCTGAGTTTCTATCGACCCTGCCAATTCAAATCTGCACAGGTATTGTACTTTTCAACTTCATAATTTTCATTTTTAAATATAATTTCTATCTCTTTAGATTTTCTTTCGGACGAGATATTGCCAGCATCCCTTCCTACTCTCTTTAAGCACAGTTTCTTTTGAGTTCTTTTAGCTTACCTATAATGGCTACTTTGTCAGTTAAACAGAACATCTTAGCTATGTCAGAAACCTTTTCTGTTTCCTGCCTGTTTTCCTGGGTGTAGATTACACTTGCCCGTTTCTTTGTATGTCTGTCTTTTTGTTGTTAATGATTGGGATATTTTATGAGATATATTTTAGTAATTGTAGTAAATTTGCTTGTTTCTGTCCCTTTAGTGAATTGGCTGGGTTATTATAATATAATAAAGGAAGCTTATTTTCACCCCAAAATGGCAAGGCTCCTCAGAAGGTGCAGCCTTGACTTAGCACGGGGGTCCTGTGCGTGATGACAGGGCATTGACCAAGATCCTGTCCGCCTGTCGCTGTTGACCACGCTGCCCGTCTGCAGGTGCAGCAGCTGCATGTCAGGCCTCGCTAATTGCAAGGTGATTACTCCATCGTTTTTGACAGTGCCTTGGGTGTAAATTGTTCCACACTGTGATCCAATTAAATCTGGGGCTCTTTGCAGCATGAAGACTTCGAGGGAAGTCTTCAAAATTCACTCTGGCCCGAGGCGGGCTGTTCTTCTGTCTTGCCCTAATTTTCTCTGGCGACCTAGCTGCTAACTCCAGGCTGGCAGGCTATCTTAGTCATGCTTAGTTGAAGGGGAGCTCCTACAAGGCCGGGCAGGGCAGGGTGGGGTGCAGGCTGTGCCTCAAGTGCAACAGAGACTCCTAGTTCTAACTGAGATTTAGTCGATTTTCTTGAATGTTTTTAGTTTACTGAATCCCCTTAGGAAATTTCCAGAGACTTTAAGTAGCTGTCTATAAATAACTTGCACCAGCCATGGATGTTTCTCCAGGGTTCTGTCTGGAGGGCTGAGGGCAAGGAAAGGCTCTAAGTACTGTGGTGAAAAATGGGTTTTAAAAGTCAACCGTGACTAGTTTTTAGAACCGGAGGGGACAAAGTTGATGCCAAGAGAACTCTTAGGGTGTTGCTGAGAAATTCCAGTGGCGAGTGTTGGCAGCTCAGATTAAGATAGTAAACTGTGGGAACCAGAAAGGTGAACCAGTGCTTATTAAGTGGATGGGGGATTAGTGTGGGATGGGAAGGTGTTGCCTGAGCCCAGGGCATTGCAGTGAATGCTGATCTTTACAGGTTGTTGAAATATACAGTCTGCAACTGGCTGGCTCCTGCATGCCTGCATGCATTCCACGAGGTGCCCACTCCTTGCAGCTGGCGAATGATGCTGTGGGTCAAACTGTCGCTTTGTCTATTTTCCTCCTGCAGGGGAGGGGTTGGGTCTTATTCGTTGGTTCATCTCCAGAACTTAGGACAGTGACATCCCAGTCTAGGTCATTGGTGGCCAAAGGAAGTTGAGTGATTTAATGACATAGAAGGAACAGTGTGGAAGGAGCTGTGTTGTGTCTGGACTTGTTCCCTCTGAGGTGCTTGTGGGACATAAGGGAGCCTGTCTCAGATTCAGAAAAGAGGTGTGGGTAAATAGTGTAGATTTAGGGGTCAGAAGGAGACCTGGTGGCAAAGATGCGGTGGACTGAGCTTATTCTAGAACAATATATAGAGCAAAGGAAGAACACCTAGGCCAGCAGTTGTGTTCCTGAAGCTTTAGGACTTCCCTGTTACTCTTCCCACTTTTCTTTCTTTCTTTCTTTTTTTTTTTTTTTTTTTTTTTTGTTGGAGAGTCAGATATCCAGAGAGGAGGAGAGACAGAGAGGAAGATCTTCCGTCCGATGGTTCACTCCCCAAGCGGCCACAGTGGCTGGAGCTGAGCCAATCCGTAGCCAGGAGCCAGGAGTTTCTTCCGGTCTCCCACATGGGTGCAGGGTCCCAAGTTTTTGGGCTGTCCTCGACTGACTGCTTTCCAAGGCCACAGGCAGGGAACTGGATGGGAAGTGGGGCTGCCAGGATTAGAACCGGCGCCCATATGGGATCCCGGCACGTGCAAGGCGAGGACTTTAGCCAGTACGCTATTGTGCCAGGCCCACTCTTCCCATTTTTCATAGTTATTGGATCTTTTGTGAGAGTGAGCCTCAGCAAACTTTTGTTACAGGTTAAAGAACTCTTTTCCTCTTTGGGAGTGGACTACAACATCTTGGAGCTTGATCAGCTTGGTAAGTAGGATGCTTGGTTCATATTAGTTGTGATAAATGTCAGCTAGAAGGGCCACTTTCCTTGTCCCTGCCCCGTTCACTTTGCTCTGGTCTGTTGGAATTGAAGGAGCTATTTTTTTTATTATTCAGCCATGTGGAAAACAAATCCTTATGACAAACAACTTGATATAGACTTTTTATTTATTTATTTTTCATGTTTGAAGGAAGGGAGTGGGAGGAAGATGTATAAACTTCTAACTGGGAAGTATTTGTGGCATTTCAGATGTAATCTGCCAGCTTTGTAGCAACATAGACTAAGCCATAAAAAAATGGAAAAGATTCATTCCTGTCTCCTGATTGTGCCACCTACGAGCAGGAACACTCTGTGTCTTGGAGCGTTGAATCCTTGACACCCACGCGTCTGTGCACCTCACACACACACAGTGTATCTCTGCCTTCATAGCCTCGTTGTTTGCTTACATTTGCTTTGTTGATTTGTTTTTATTTATTTGAAAGGCAAAATAACACACACACACACACACACACATACAGGAGCCTTCCATCTCCGGGTTCAGTCTCTGAATGCCCATAACATCCAGGAGCCAAGAACTACATCTGGGTCTCCCACATGGGTGGGAGCACCCCAAGTGCTTGAACTATCACCTGCAGCCTCCCAGGGTGTGAGTTGGCAAGAAGCCGGAGGCAGGCCTACTTGATTTTAGGAATAGAAGGTAAGTTTGGGTTATGATCATACGGATAATTTTCGAATGTAATTGCAGGAAATATTGTCTGGTTTCTTACTGTTGTAGCAGCTTTTACCTTGATACTCTTCAGAGAGTATCCTCATGTATTTATCATGACACAGTCGTTGAGCTATATAGCAAAGTCTAATTTAGAGGGGTTTATTTTTAGGACAAATTAATAGACTGATCTTTATTTTTTGAGGTTTGTTTATTTTAAAGGCAGAGTGACAGAGAAGAGAGATAGAGATAGATAGATAGGTGGAGAGAGATCTTCTTTCTGCTGTTTCACTCCCCAAATGCTCCCAACGTTTGGGGTTGGGCTAGACTCAAGCCTAGAGCCAGAAACTCTGTCGAGATGTCTCAGGTTGAATGGCAGTGACTCAACCACGTGAGTTACTATCCCAGGATGTGTTAGCAGGAAGTTGGATTGGAAGCAGAGTAGCCAGGATTCAAATCTGATAGTGGATATGGGCCTTCCAAATGGTGACTAACTGTACCATAACGCCTGCGCATGGATTTTTATTTTATTATTAAGATTTATTTATTTTTATTGAAAAGGCAGATTTATGGGGAAAAGGAAAGACAGAAACATCTTCCATCTGTTGATTCACTCCCCAAATGGCCATAATGGCAGGAACTGAGCCAATCCGAAGCCAGGAGCCAGGAGCTTCTTCCAGGTCTCCCATGCAGATACAGGGTCCCAAGACTTTAGGTCATCCTCCACTGTGCTCCTGTTCCACAAACAGGAAGGTGGGTGGGAAGTGGAGCAGCTAAGACATGAACCAGCACTCATATGGGATCCTGATGCTTACAAGTTTAGGATTAGCCAATTGAGCTACCACACATGGTATTTTTAAAATTTTTATATTTTTAAAAATATCACCCATGGTATTTTTAAAGTTTCTTTTGAAGCAATGAGGAGCTGGCACTGTGGCATAATAAGTTAAGCCTCCATCTAGCATTCCATATGTGTGCTAGTTTGAATCCTGGCTGCTCTATTTTTGATCTAGTTCCCTGCTTACGACCTGGAAAGCAGCAGAGGATGGCCCAAGACTCCCTTATATGCCTGTAGTGGAAGAAGTTCCTGGTTTCCTGCTCAGCCCAGTTCTAGCTGTTACGGCCATTTGGGGTGTGAACTAATGGATGCAAGATTGTCTTTTCCTCTTTCTCTGTAACTCTTTCAAGTAAAATAAATAAATCTTTAAAAAAAAAAAAAGGAGGGTATTTTCTCCTGTTGAGTCATCAGCTCATTCAGTTACAAAGTTGTAGGCGTGTACATGTAAGTGAGCACTTGAGTTGCTGTAACACTTCATTTTGACTAGCCAAGATCTGGAACCGTTTTCAGTGGATTTTGTTTGTTTTTAAGACTTATATTTATTTGAAAGGCAGAGAGTTAAAGAGACAGGAAGATTTTCCATCTACTGGTTTACTTCTCGAATAGCTGCAAGAGCCGGAGCTAAGCTGACCTGAAGCCAGGAGACAGGAGATTCTTCTGGGTGTTCCGTGTAGGAATAGGGGCCCAGGGCTTTGGGCCATCTGCTGCTGCTTTCCCAGGATCTAAGCAGGGAGGTGGATGAGAAGTGGAGCATCTGAGACATGAACCGGTGCCCATATGGAATGCTGGCATCACAGGCAGAAACTGCACCCCTGGATTGGCCCCTTTCCTTGTTTTATATTGATTCTTTTATTCTTCAGACGATGGGGCCAATGTTCAGGAAATGCTGTTAGAAATCACCAATCAGAAGACTGTGCCCAATATTTTTGTGAACAAAGTACATATGGGCGGATGTGACCGGACTTTACAGGTAATAAGAGGATTATATAGTCCAGGACACTGTTTGTTCACATGATAATAAATCCTGAAAACCGGGAGAAAATGGCTTTCAGGGGTCTATTCGCTTGTCTTCTGATAGTTGTCAAATGGAAAGCCTGTAAAGCGTGTCAGATGATCTTGGTTACTTAATGGGAGGTTAGTTTTTCTGCCAGCATGTGCTTGGGAAGCTTAAGGAGGAGGTTTCTAGGTGAGTTCAGGACTAGCAGGTGGGCTACCCTGGACACAGCCCAGCTGTCCTGTCCCAGCAGGGAAGGGACTGGGGATGTTTTTCTGGGAACATAAGTCAGTGCAGACATTCTTACCTGGAGTGGTTGGACTCTCTCTGAAGCCTGCCTACCCTGTGCCCTTTGATGAAAGCCTTTTGATTTCATTGGCTCCTGGCATGCTTCTTATGTGCTTGGTATGTGTGTGCAAATGATAGAAATCAGTGGTTGGTAATATTTGAAATTTTGATTAGCAAATCTATTTGTGGGGAAAATGATGCTATCTGCACTGTATGCTAATCTGTGACGAGCATCATTACCTAGTAAATGTCTGCTGTGTTAGTCCTAGAGGCTGTAATCCAGTTTACATGGAGGCAGGTACTGTCACAATATGCCCAGAACCCCTTCTGAAGTGCTGGGCTTGCTGGTGCCAACGAGGAAAAGGCTGTCAGAGATGAAACATGGAGGTGCTGACCTAGCAGTTTCTTTTCAACACTGACAGGTGTTGCCTCGGATGGCAAGCCAATAGGAGTTGCTCTTTCCTGAGGACGCCTCACAGTGCAGAAGCCATGAGTGTCCCTTTAAAAATGTCCCAAAGCCAGCTTGGATACTCTTCTCCTGCCAAGCCCCCTTCATCACCCGGAACTTGTGGTGCTTCTCAGAGAGTTCTGGTCCAAGTATGATGCCCCCAACAGCTGCATAGTGGGATGGAGCAACTGACTTTGCATAGAGAAAGCTGTTGCCAAACCACAGTGTTGGACTGCTAACCTCATCTGCGATACTTCTGATCTCAGGGAGGACCACATGAACATGGTACAACCAGTCACTGACCATGGCCAAAGGAAGAAGCAAGAAGTCTGAGTCGTGTGGCAGTTCCAGCAGCACAGCTCAGAAATTCTGTTTACTTTATGAGAAACCATGACAAGATTACTGATGAGGCTTAAAGATTGTTTTCAAATTACAGACTGGTACAGGTGAATGAGGATCTTGGAAAATGACATATGTGATTGGTTCATTGCACTTAAGAATACTTATAGTGATTCAATGAAGGGAAATGACCTTGTCTACAAATACAAAGCCACACCCATTTTTGAGTCCTTTGACACAGGCGCAGCTATAGTTCAGAATGGACAGCAAATACGTGTTGTGGCAACCAATGAGTTGGGACCTGTTTGAGTAGCCTGCAGATGGATTTACAGTGCCAACTCAGAGGAGTTACAGATTGTTTTTAAGATTTCTTTTTTTTTTCCCAAAAGAAGTTCATGCTGATTGAACACAGGTTGCAAATAAATAGTTTGAAAATGGTAAATCATGCTGTATTCTTTCTTTCTTCCCCCTGTTCCTCAAAAAAAAAAAATTGTAGGCACATAAGAACGGCTTATTGCAGAAGATCCTTCAGGAAGACTCAGCCTATGATTATGACCTCATTGTCATCGGTGGTGGCTCTGGTGGCCTCTCGTGTGCGAAGGTATGGGCACAGAGAGGAGACTCACGGATCTTTTCCTGATTGGCATCATAAGCATTATTCCTGCAATGAACAAATATCTATATATATTTGCCAATTGTCACAGCTCTTTTAATTCGGAGGAAAGAGATTGTGATCACACCAAAGAATAATCTTTTCATATAGGGGAGTGGAAACCTGGGGATGTGTAAGGAAAAGGACAGGATCTTCCTATGTCGGTGTCTGTTTTTATTTGTTTAGGAAGCTGCTGTTTTGGGCAGGAAAGTTATGGTGCTTGACTTTGTGGTCCCCTCACCTCAAGGCACATCCTGGGGTAAGTGCTGTCTCCGGGCTGTTGCTCTCTGCTCTTTTGCATATATCCCTTGGTGTATAGAATTTCAGTTGATCCTCACAGTAAATCATACCATGTATAGTTAGCCTAATTCATCCAAGGAGAACCTGGGAGGTTACAGTTAACAAGAGGTGCTTTTGGAAAGATAACATGAAAAGAATTAAAGAAGATTTTTCAGAAGAAAAGAACAGTTCTCGCCCCACTGCCATAATGTTTTACAAGTACGTGCTGGTATTTTCAGAGACCAGGTCCCAGCATGAGCGCTGGCTGTGTCCTGCTCGCTGTGGTTTACCAGGCGCATTTTTCTGTGTTTCTGCGTCAGTCTCATGATTGACTTCGTGGCAGCACGATGGCAAGTGGACTCAGCCTGATATCATCAGCAAAGTTTGGTTTAATAAGGAGCACAGAGTGGGCCCAGCCCTGCCCAGCCCTGCCCAGCCCTGCCCAGCCCTGGCCTGCCCTGCCCAGCCTGCTGCCATCGATTGTTTGGTTTTACTCTGCAGTGAAACAGAATGCAGGGAGATGTTCTGTTTGGACTTCAGTGACCTGTCCCTTGCCTTGCCCTCTCTTATGCCCTGAGTCACTCATCCTCCGGCCCCTCAGGTGTGGCCAGCTTGGGGAAATGTGAGGAGACAGAAGAGTGGAGGTGAAGGCAGGTGGGCTCCATCTTTGCTGTGATCTGTCCAGCTTCCTCTGGTCACCGCGTTCCTTCTGTCTCCCTCTCCGTCACTCGCAGCTGCCACTGTCCTGCTCCTGTCCCCAGCTTAGGCTGCTTGTTTTTCTGCACCTGCTTTTCCTGCCACTCCTTTGGATAGTTGTTCTGTAGACCCCCTTTACTAACCCAGCTGTGAGTATGTCTTCTCTTTCTTGCCAGAATCCTGAGGGATAGAATATAGAAATGATTTTTTTTTTCATTCCAACTTGCTCAAAAAGTTTTAGCCTAGGATTTCGTATAGGAAAACCACCCAGCCTTGACAGTGCTGGGACTGCAGACACTGGCCTTTCCCCTCTCCTGCCCTCTTTCCTCTCTTGCCACTCTCCTTAACCCTTTTCTGACCAGAAATGACCCACCTTATCCGGTGTGCCTGGAAGAGACTGCAAGCAAACAGGAAATGTTTGACTTCTGACTAGGGAAGGCACTCTCACGCATGATCTGTTTCGTGTCGTTCAAATTCAAAGTGGGTCTCATGGGCCCAGTGCAGTAGCCTAGTGGCTAAAGTCCTTGCTTTGCATGCACCAGGACCTTATGTGGGTGCTGGTTTCTGTCCCATCTGCTCCACTTCCCATCCAGCTCCCTGCTTGTGGCCTGGGAAAGCAGTGGAGGACGGCCCAAGTCCTTGGGACCCTGCATCCACATGGGAGACCTGGAAGGAGCTTCTGACTGCTGGTTTCTGATCGATTGAGCTCTGGCTGTTGCGACTACTTGAGGAGTGAATCACCCGACGGAAGATCTTCCTCTGTGTCTCCACTCTGTAAAATCTGGCTTTCCAATAAAAATAAATAAAATCTTCAAAAAAATAAAAAGTGGATGGTTAACACTAGGCAGTTTACAGGGACCAGAAGTTTGGTTCAGAGGAGGAGACAGGGATGGAGCCTGGCCAGCCAGGTGCCATTTGGACCCTTTCTGGAGGAGGTGCACGTCTGGTGGGTCTCACACAGCTCTTACCTCTCAAGTGGAAGTTGGGGTTCTTTCCCCAGAAAACTTTCCATGTGCACATACTTTTTTTTTCTTATCCTTGGGTTTTCTTCATGGCCTCTCTGACTGAGTCAATAAATCGGTTGTATATTATTTGGGGGTAAAGAGTTGTCCCTATCATCAATTAAGCTTGTCATTCTCCACGTTTTAATGATATTTCACAAGCGTGTGAAATCATGCCCACATATACAGACATGGAGAGAAAAGCTGCTGTTTTGTTTCTCAGGCCTCGGTGGGACTTGTGTGAATGTGGGCTGCATTCCTAAGAAATTGATGCATCAGGCTGCCCTTTTGGGACAGGCATTACGTGACTCAAGGAAGTTTGGCTGGGAGTACAGTCAGCAAGGTGAGTGATGGCATAAGAAAATGCTGAGTGGTAGAGCAGAAAGAATGGGTTTCTGTGATAAAGATTTGCCACTCATGTTTTTGTACTTAAGTTTGAAATCTATTTAAAAAACATTCGTTGGGAGCCAACTGCATGCCAGCAAGGTATAAGGGACACAAGGCCAGTCCTGCTGCTGTGGGTCCCGTCTGTCAGTTACAGCCGTGCCAGCGCCTGGTACAGAGAGCGAGAGATGAAGATCTGTATTTTCAAGCTTCTTTCAAGCCTAAAGAAATTGGAGTTCAGAGTATTATCAGTTTGATTTTATCTGTTACTATGATAGTAGTTTCCATTTTATTGGTGATGAGATGTCTCTTTGGTTAAAGAAAGGTAGCAAGCATGTTCTCCCAACAAACCTTTATTGCCAGGGCTCAGAAGTAGACAGAAGGGCTACAGAGTCACTTAGCATAAGCAAGATGTGGTCTGATGTGGGAGACAGGCAGAGAATCCACTTAGTGCATTGAGCAAGGGTTCTTCAGAAATTGCCTGGGAAGTGCAAGTTATGAAAGCAATACAAAGGGATTGTATTTTTTTTTTTTGCAACAAAACAAATGTACCTTTTGATTGCATTTTCCACATACTTTTTAAAGTGCCCTCGTCATTGTTAGTGCTGTTTTGAGCGTTGCTTTGAGGGTATCTGATGTAGCTGTTTGGGAAGGTTGAAGGGTGGAAGTTAAGGACAGCTGGGACAAGGGACCCCAAGAGAGCTGCATCTTGAAGGCCAAAGAGAAGTGGGACATTGAAAGCTGAAAGCAACTTGGCCAAAACCATGCAGAGGAGAGAAGCCCTGTTGAACTGGGTGGGGAAGGCAACGGCAGGGTGAAGACTGGGTGAGGAATGGTTGGAAAAATGTCATTAGGGAGGTGAGTAGATCTTGGAGGCCCTGCATTTTGCATTGAGAGGAGAGCTGTAAGCAGGAAAGGTACAGGCAACCCCATGTATTTCTGATCTCTGCTGATGTCCACCAACCCCTTAGAAAGCAGAAGTAGGGCCAGGGGAGGACAAGTAAGGATAGAGGCCCCAGCAAAGACTGAGGTCGAAGTGAAGCATGCGAGATGGAATGAGAGACTGGGGCGTGGATCTGGTGGGGCGCAGTGTCACTTGGATGTGGCATGCTGTTTTCTGACTTGGCTGGGGGCCACAGCCCTGTGCCTTCTCTTCCCACACAGTGCTGATCCAGTAATATGTACTTGTGTGGGTTTCAATGTCATGGGGGATTCTGATGCTCAGGTGACCGTGGTGATCAGGTGAGCGAGGAAGAAGAGGGACTGGGTGTACCAGAGGGCAGTCCCTTGAGGTTTGAGGGCACCAGGAACTTTGGGTAAGCAGCTGGGCATGTACAGTTGGGGGTCATGGGTGGAGGCTGGGTGAATGTCTCCCCCATTCAACGTGGCAGGGTGTTGCAGGTCCAACTAGGACCAGCTGGTTGTAGGTGGTGGTTACCTCATCATGAGGTTTTACTCTTCCTGGCAGTTAACTCCTGGGTAGCCTTTCATACTCCAGAACCTTCTCTGTCAACTGAAGAGTCTGACAGAGTGCCTGTCTTCCTGCTGGTGCCTGCTTTGCACTAGCGCGTCCAGCCAATGCACACCAAGGACACATAGGAAGAAAGTGCACATTTCTGAACACCGTGATAAAAAGATTTAAAATTTATGATGTAAATGATATATGATAGATTTAGAATAGAGGAGATTGAACTGAGAAGTTCTAGAGTTGAGTTGTGTTTATTTGCTTATAAGAGTGTAAAAAATCAATAGAAATCTTACATTATTGGCAATCATGAGTTTAGATAGCACATGATACTCGTATACTATTTTGGAGTAAATTTAACCAGGAATGTATTATGTGTGTGTGTGTGTGTGTGTGTGTGTGTGTGTGTGTGTGTGTGTGTGTGTGTGTGTAAAGAATATAAAGGCAGCCCAGAAATCTATTGTATTACAAGGGATATCTCAAGAATGTGAAGATATTTATCGCAAAATTAATTTGTAAGTTTTATGTAAGACTAAGAAAAATCTGACAGAGCTCACATGGAATGAAAAACAATTATGTGAGAAAAGCCAAGGGAGGCTTTTTACATCAACATTCAAGAAAGGGGTATGCATACGTCACGAGCAGTGAGAGTGGCTGAGGTTGGCTGCAGAACCTTTGGTGTCTGTCCTGTGCTGTGTCACAGAAAGTGCCACCCTTGGTTATGCTTCTCTGTGCAGTAGCCATCTGTTTCCTGCAGTAACACCTCATGCCCCTGGGCAAGTGCGGGTATTTCTGGAGAGCGTTGGATGGTGCCAGCTATGACCCTGGGCTTGGGGCTTTGGCTTAGGGATTTCATGCAGGCACTAAGCGAGCCCCGGGCTGGTCTCCTGTCTTGTAAGCATAGCTGCGTGGAGATCCGTGTGACCCTCAGAATAACAGCGGCAGTGGAGAACAAGGTCTGTTGGAGTTTTAAAACAATACAGAGTGGCTTGTGTTTGTTACATAATTTATCACAAGTAACATGTCCCTCACTGCTTTACCCTGGTGGCTTCTTTTCAGTGAAGCACAACTGGGAGACCCTGACAGAGGCGATTCAGAACCACATTGGCTCTCTAAACTGGGGCTACCGCCTGTCTTTGAGGGAAAGGGGTGTGGCCTATGTCAATTCCTATGGAGAATTTGTCGAGCATCATACTATTAAGGTACTGGTTGAATCTCTTGTCGTGTTCTTTGTCTTTACTTAACTACTGCTTGTACTTGAACTAGATTTCATGTTGTACTTTAAGGACTGTGGCACACACACACACACACACATTAACGCATGTATGTTTTCCCCATGGTTCATTCCACGTCTGGTTAAAGTGAAGAAACTGCATTTTAAAGAACTCTTAATGTTATTATTTGTCTTTGGTTTCATTACCATTTTAGAGGACGTATTTGAACATTTCTAAGCTAGAAAGACTTAAAAGATCAGAGCTTTGCAGTGGAACTCTTTTTTCTTTAATTTCTCATCGATATTTAACAGATTAGATTCAACCCTGAGAACACAGTGACATTCCGCTCTCTGTCCCTTTGTCCTCCCCACCCCTTCTCCCTGTTCCCTTTCTTTTTTTTTTTCAGATGTACACTGCATTGAAAAGCTTAATACCTCAATGAATAAGAATTTTAAGAAATAAAAAGCAAAAATACCTTGAGTTAGTGGGAATACAGACAAATGCTATAAATAGTAATTGAATATGACCACTTCAGCCGTATACAGTGAATTACAAAAGAATCACAAATCATTAAAACTATACTAGTATAACATTTTTAATCACCGGTTTGACAAAGTTATAAAAAAGTTATAGAAAATTACATTTTTAACAATACTGATACACAGACATTTCTTTTTTCTTAAGCAGTGAATTTTTTTTAAAAAAAAGAACCTTAATTAGAGCTCCAATATGCACTACTCACAAAACGTTGATGTAAGTAGTTTCAAAATTAGTGTTAGTTATAAAAATTATAAATTCTTATTTACAATGCTGAACTGTACATTTTGAGATCAATACATGAGGCAAATTAGATGCATTTTTTTGGTGAACACACAAATTTTAAATTGTAGTAAATAAAGACAGTTATACCTTAGCCTCAATGTCTAGTTTATTTTTGTACTTTGGGAGCGCAGTGTAGATCATCTTGACAAGATTTTGGATGGTTTTATAGCCAGTTATCTGAATTTAGAAAGGTGCGAAACGTCCATTTAAAGCTTGCCTGTGAGAACCTTACATGCGCCAGGTTGGATTACATTATTCATGGAGAAATCCAAGTGGCTTTCTGTTGCTCCAAGTGTAATGTGCCTGGCACAGATGGTTGGAGAAGCTGATCATTCCCTGGCCAGACCTGCTGCTTTTGCAGTTCCGCGATGTCTCCCAGTTGCGTGAGCCGGAAGCTCGAGGCTCTTCCCCTCCACCCCGCCGCCTGCACCTGTTCCGCCTTCCAGGACCTTTGTAACAGGTCTCTGTTTGTGCACAGCTGCCAGTCATGCCAGCCCACTTGCTTAGGCACCTTCACTGGCATTTTAATTCTTGAAATGTGTTTTGGATTATTTGTGTGATTACGAATAGGTGATTATGGCTAGGTTCCCATAGGCTAAATAAGACCTCCAGCTTTGGCTTTAGGCTGTGTGTTTCAGGTCACCTTTGCTTAAGACCTGCTCTCCAGTCACTTCTGGCCACGGAGCCCAGACGCCAGCTCCTCCCACATCTGGGTACTGTGGCCTCTTCCAGGTCTCCATTCTACTCCATCCTTGACTAGCTTTCTGGTCTGCAATGCCAGTCTCACTGTGGTGCTTTGATACTATTGTTAAGATCTCTCTTTTCTGGATCGGTTCTGATTGTGTTGCATAATCTTCACATGTCTGCCCAAATGTTTGGTATTCTGTAGTGTCTGTGGAGCACATGAAATTTTATTTTCTTTTTCCTAGACAACCAATAGAAAGGGACAGGAAACTTATTACACTTCTGCAAAATTTGTCATAGCAACAGGTGCACGGCCACGGTATTTAGGAATCCCAGGAGATAAGGAATTCTGTATTACAAGGTAAGATTAAATAGAGCATTATAACTTTAAGCAATTGCATTATATTTATGTTCCTAATATCATTTGTCCCTGTCTTAATTTCACACAATATTGAAATTAATGACAGATGAAAATCCACATGGTAAACCGGCTTAGTAGTTTGGAATTGTCATGAAATAAAGAGAAAATAAGGCTAGGTAAGTAAGAAGACCAATGGTAGTATGTATGTAGTCTGTATGTACCAGAATACACTGTCTGCTCCCAGCCAGCATCTGGAAGTGGTCTGGAAGTCAACCATAAGTTTCCTGTAAGCCAAAGCAAAGAAATAAGTTAGATGTCCCGATGATAAAATGCAACAGCATGTTAGGGGCAGCACAGCTCTCCTCAGTATTGGGGCTTGATGTGAGTTTTCCCTGGATGGTCAAACAGAAGGTGCTATTTCATGTTCTGCAGTGACTTCAGAGCCTTTCTGAGAAGACATAGTCAGAATTAAGTAGGATGATTTTTGTTGTGCTATGTTCAGGTGAATGTATGTGTCCACTGCCCTTCCCCTCCCAGCCCATGCATCCAAAGCAGACAGCAGACACATGGGATATAGTGTAGGATTTCCTGTCCTGTTTGGTTGTTTTTTTTTAAGAACCCTTTGCTTGTGATCTAATTTGAGTATACTTCCTCTTCCCCACTCCACACTAGGCTGAATTACAACCTACAAAAGACAGCTTCTCTCAGGGACTCTTAAGCTCCAGATTGCAATTCAGCCAACAAAACCCCCTTATACATTGAAACTTCAGAAACCCATTTCCTGTTTATTGAATGTATGTTCCTTTTTTATGTTCCTTTTTTAGTGATGACCTTTTTTCTCTACCTTATTGTCCTGGCAAAACGTTAGTAGTGGGCGCCTCTTACGTGGCTCTGGAGTGCGCTGGCTTTCTTGCCGGCTTTGGGTTGGACGTCACAGTCATGGTGCGCTCCATCCTTCTTCGAGGCTTTGATCAAGAAATAGTGGAGAAAGTGGGTGCCTACATGGAGCAGCATGGCGTGAAGTTCTTGAGAAAATTTGTGCCTGTGATGGTAAGTCTGAAATGGCACTTGGAGTTTTTAAAATTTACTTTCTTATTCTCTCTGCAACTTATTGTGCACCTCCTTAATTCATTTCTTTAATGGTGATGAAAATGGTGCTCCCATCCCCCCAGAAATATGCAGGTGCTGACCTTGAGTGCTGACCTTGAGTGCTGACCTTGAGTGCCTCCCACTGCTCCTAGGTCATGGAGAAGGTGTTGCACTGTGTTCCCAGGTGGGCAGCCCTTCTCTCGCTGCTGCGTGGAGGATTCCCGGGATGGTCCATCTTCAGTGTTTGCCTTTCTTTTCCCTTACTTCCATCAGGAGCTCTCTTCTCGTAACAGACAAGCCTTCCCTGTAGCCCTCCAGCAGCACCTTCCTGGATGGGCCCTGTGTTTCTTCTCCCTTTTCCACACCCACTTCTCTGCGTACTACTTCTAGCCCCTCGTCTACCTGCATTCCCACTACTTGTTTTTTCCCCTCCTGCTAATTTGCTGTTGTCAGTTCCTGTGGTCGGACCTGTGTCATTGTCCTGCTGGGCTGTGGGGAGGCAAGGGTGAGACCCACAATTCTCGCATGGCAGGTACCTTCATGCCTCCCTCCTGAGGTCCCACGACCTGTGGTTCTTCCCCTTCACTTCCCGGCTGTGAACCCCGAACCTGTTTCTTTTCATGCTTCTCCCTCTTGGTTTATCGGCTGTTCACCTGAATGATCCTCTTCAGGCCCACAGTTTTAAGTACTATCTAAATGCTAATGATTCAGATTTCTATCTCCCGTTGAAGCATCTCTCCTGAATTCACACTCATTTATACAACTGCCTCCTGGATAGCACCACTTGAATTTCTCATAAGCATTTCAAATTTAACAAGATAAAAATGAAACTAGAGTTTTCCACGTTAATGTATTCCCTTGCTAATCTTTCTGGCCCATCTCGATACTCAGCAAAAGCTACTGCAGTCTACACAATTTATTAGGCCAACACCTAAGAAGCTCACCTTCACTTCTTTTATGACGATGTCTCTAATCTTAGCTAATCCATTAATTCATTACTACCTTCAAAATCTGTCTTGTGACTGTCCTCTTTTTTTTTTCTGTCTCTATTTTATCCTCAAACCTTTTAAACCTCAAATATTAAATATACTCACCATGTATACATCACTGCACACAAAAGCATGCATCCACACACTTACACCCCTGTTGAGCTATATGTTTTCTATCCATTTAGAATCATTCCATTATTTATCCTGAACAGGTTCAACAGTTGGAGAAAGGTTCACCTGGAAAGTTGAAAGTAACAGCTAAGTCTACTGAAGGAGCAGAAATTACTGAAGGCGTGTATAACACAGTGAGTCTTCCTTTGATAAGCACTGAGTGATTGGATACGTTAAAAAAATCTGCAACAATTAAGCCTAGAAAAAAATTATACCCTGTCTTTTGTTCTTAGTTGGCCTAATGACATTTGATTCTTCAGAATACAAAAAGAAAATCATGGTTTAATATATGTGTAGAATAAATACCTGCATAGTAGAACAAAATCTAGACGTAGATCTGTCTAAATGTTACTAGTGCTTCTGAGGAATTAGAGATTTTTTATATTTTTATATGATTATTTAACAGCAATGAATCTGTTTTTCTTTTTAAAAAGTAAATAATGGAAAAGAAAAAAGTGTGAGTAACCCAAAGAATCCTAGATGCCAGAAATTCTTTTGTAATTAGACTCTTAAGAAATGATATATTTTGTTTTACATAGTTTTGTAGACATTTTTGTGTGTTGAATATGAGGTTTGAGTGGAAAGAATCAGCATGCTAAAGACATACAACAAAGCCAAAATGCGGCAATGAACCCTGTTAAGATTTTGTTTAGGACTGCATTGGTTATATAGATCAGTTGGAAACACTTGACTTTTTTGCAATCCATGAACATGGTATAGCAGTTCATTAATTTAGATCTTTAATGATTCATCCCCAATAGTTAATACATTTCTTCACAGAGATCTAGAGCATCTGTTAGATTTATCCTAGATACTTAGGTATTTATATGTAGCTACATTGTTTTTATCTGTTGCTGGTCTTTAGAGATGCCACTGATATTTGTGTTTAAGCATTCAATAGTTTTGCTGTTTTCTTATTTGATATTTTATTCCTATGTTATTTTTATTTTTTATGTACGTATGCATAATATTTAAGAATGATACCAGTTTTGTTTCAACTTCCCCACAATTTCTCTATCTCTCTGTGTCTCTCTTTTACGTAAATGTGTTAGCTAGTACCTTCAGTGCAGTGTTGACAAGATTTGACAATAACAGGAGTTCTTGCCCTGTTCTTTATATTAAGTGGAAAGTTTTCAGTTTCCTGGTATTAAAAAGTAGTTTTTATGTAGGATTTTAATCAAACTAAGGTAATTGTTTTCTATTGTTTTGTTTGCTAAAGCTTTTGGGGGGGTTAATGAATGTTTCATCGTAGCAGGGTTTCTTTTGCAGGTATTCATGATCGCTTCTTTTGCTTTAATCTGTTAATGCAGCTGAGGGGGCACATCTGGCTGAAGTCCATATAAATCCCTGCTAATGCAACCACAAGTAGAATTCAAAATTCAATAAGTTTATAACAGGCTGCTTTAAGTTGATAATTTTAAATGACCTGCAAATGATATGTAAATATCCAAATGGCCTTTGGTGCAGGGGAGGTGGTTCCCCACTCTGTGCTAATGGTTTTCTAATGTGCATTCAGTTTTGTATTCCTGCTGCAAACCCAGCTTGGTAGTGTTTGCCTTGGATATTTAGAATTTTTGCATTTATATTCATGAAAAGTAATGGTTTTAATTCTCTGTTCACATACTGAACTTTTTAGATTTGAGTCAAAGTCTGGAGTATGCTTCCTTGATCTGTACTCTCTGAAAGCGCTTGTATGGTATTTGTATTTTTCTTGGCAATGGATTTGATTTCTTTATGCTCAAAGGACTTTCTGGGCTTTCTGAATTTTTTTCTTAAGTAAATTTTGATTACTTATGATTTTCTGTAAATTAGCTTGTTTCATCTAAATGTTCACATATTGGTAAGTAAAGGTGGTTATACGGCATGACTTTGTCAGTTGTTTACTGTGTACTGAGACATAGTTTTTGTGTGGTGGAGTACACAGACAGTGTCTTGTCCCCCTTCTTAGTCCCTGATGCCAAACAGCCGCTATTCTGATGTTGTCACTGTGAATTAGTTTTGCTTATTCTGCACATCACATAAATGGAATAGCACAATGCATGTACTACTTGCCATCTAGCTTCTTTTGTCAGGTTGATGTTTTAAGCATCCATTCATGCTGTGTGCATCAGTAGCCGGTTCTTTTTGTTAGACTGTCTGAGTATAACACAGTTTATTCATTTTCCGGTGCATGGAAAATGAACTCTTTCTGGCTTGGCTATTTTGATTGTTTAGTGGTATATTGTGATGATACATGCTGTGAAAATTTCTTCTATAAAGCTTTTTGTGGATATATATTTCAATTTCTATTGGATAAAAACCTGACAGTGAAGTTCCATAATTATAGCATAGTTTCTTTCCTTTTCAAATTTTATCTAAAAGGTAGAGTTATAGAAAGAGAAAGGAAGAAACAGAAAGAGCATTCCATCTGTTGCTTCACTCCTCAAATGGCTGCAATGGCTGGAGCTGGGTCAGGCCAAAGCCCAGAGCCAAGGGTGCAGGGGCCCAAGGCATTGGACCATCCTACACTGCTTTCCCAGGTTATAAGCAGGGAGCTAGATTAGAATCGGAGCAGCCAGGACTGGAACCAGCACATATATGGCATAATTTCTATGGTTAACTTTTAGTGAAGAAACTGCTAGTTTTAAAATGACGTCGGTAGGGCTCGAGTTGTGACACAGTGAGTTAAGCTGAGGCCTATCATGTTGGCATTTCATATCAGTGTGCCAGTTTGAGTCTTAGCTGCTCCATTTCAATCCAGTTCTCTTATAAGGTGCCTGGAAAAAGCAACAGAAGATGGTCCAAGTTCCTGGGACCCCCACCACCAGATACAGTACCTGGCCCCTCTGGGGAGTAAACTAACACGAAAGATTCTCTCTCTCTTCCTGTGTCACTCTGCCTTTCAAATAAATAAAAATAAAATAATTTAAAAAATCCCACGAAGACATGATGGCATCAGTTTGTACCCTAAACCATACAGGAAGGTTTGGTTGTTCTACATCCTTATCAATGTTTTCAGTATTGTCTCACTTACTCATTTTAACTGTTCTAGTGGAAATATAGTGGTCTTTTTTTAAACATACATTGATTTTTTTTTTTAAGCTAGGGTGATAGAGAGAGAGAGGTAGGGAGAGAGCTATCTTCCATCTACTTGCTTTCCACAGATGGCCAGCCTGAAGCCAGGAGCTCCTTCTGAGAGCCGCAGCCCTTGAGCAGAAGCAGAGTAGGCTATGGGATGCAGGCATCCTAAGTGGCAGCATCACCTGCTGCGCCAAGGCATCCATGTCCTGCGTTATTACAGGGTTGTTTGCATCTTCCTGATGCCTAATGACGGAGAACAGCTCTCCATGTGCTTGTTTGCCAGTCTTGTGTCTCCTCTTATGAAGTGCATATTCAAATCTTGGACTATTTTTGTTGGGTTGTTGGAGTTTTTATTCTCACATTGCTGAAATTCTTATATATCTTGGGTATATTCCTCCTCAGATATATTTATCATGAATATTTTTCCTCCAACCTGGGTCTTTCATATTTATTTTTATTTTTTAAAAGATTTATTTATTTTTATTACAAAGTCAGATATACAGAGAGGAGGAGAGACAGGGAGGAAAATCTTCCGTCTGATGATTCATTCCCCAAGTGAGCGCAACGGCTGGTGCTGTGCCAATCCGGAGCCAATCTGAAGCCAGGAACCTCCTCCAGGTCTCCCACATGGGTGCAGGGTCCCATGGCTTTGGGCCGTCCTCGACTATTTTCCCAGTCTACAAGCAGGCAGCTGGATGGGAAGTGGAGCTGCCGGGATTAGAACCAGTGCCCATATAGGATCCTGGCATGTTCAAGACGAGGACTTTAGCCGTTAGGCCACCACGCTGGGCCCTTTCATGTTTATTTTTAAGAACACCTTTATGTGAGCAGTAGTTGAACAATTTTAGTGAAGTTAGATTTATCTACTTATTTATGTTAAAATATTCATTTGATTTTTATTGGAAAGGCAGAGTAACACAGAGAAGGAAAGAGAGAGGCAGATCTTCTATCTGCTGGTTCATCCCCCAAACGGCCACAATGGCTAGAACTGAGCAGATGTGAAGCCAGGAACCCAGAGACTCCTCCATGTCTCCCATGGGGGTGCAGGGGCCCAAGAACTTGAGTCATCCTCCACTGCTTTTCCCAAGCTATAAGCAGGATCAGGAGTGGAGCAGCCACAACTGCATGGGATATTGGAGCCATAGATGGAAGCTTAGACTAATAAGGCATGGTGCCAGCCCCCAATTTAGCTATTTTCTTTATGGCTAATGTTTTCTTTCTGCTCGCAGAAATCTTTCCTTACCCAGAGATCCTGAAGATACTGATGTTTGTTCCTAAAGCTTTGTAAGTTTTATCTTTGGAGTGTGCATCTGTAGTCTATCTTGCATAGTTTTCATTTGTGGTGTGATTAATTTTCTTCCACAGGGATACCCAGCACCACTTTCAAAACAGACTCCCCTTTTCCCATTGACACCATGTCACCGGGGTTCTGGTTCTGCACTACATTCTATTGCTTGGCCATTTGTCTCACCCACGTCATTCTATTACTGAAGTTTCATGGCACGTGTCTGATCAGCCAGAGTAAGTCCTCCTACTGTGTTTAAGATCTTTGCATTTCTATATAATTTTTTTAAAGCAGTTTCTCAATTTCTTAAAATCTTTTGGGATTTTGGGTTGAGAGTGTATTCATTCTGTGATCAGTTTGGAAGAACACTGACAGCAATATTGATTTTCCGATACATGAATTTCATATATCTTTCCATTTATTGATGTAGACCTTGATTTCTCTGAGTGATGTTTTATAGTATATGCTGGAGCTGTTTCACATATAATGCTAAATTTATGTTTCAGTATTTTACGCTTTTTAACCTGGTATACACAAAATTTTAAAAATTCAAACTTTTGGTGGTTTGTTGTTAGTTTTAGGAATACGAATGACTTTTTCTATCCTGACTGTATGACAGCTTCCTAGGGCCCATGTCTGCAGATAAAAACAGTTGTGTTTCTCCCTTGCCCGTCTGCACACTTTTATCTTCCCTTGCCTTCCTTTCCCTGGTTGAGCCCTTCTAGAACAGTGTTGATTAGAGACTGGGAGCCTGGGCAGTTTTGACTGTGGGGGGAGCGTTCAGGCTTTCATCATGGCAGAGTCGTGACCTCTGGGTTTTCTACACATGCCTCCTGCGCCGTCAGAGAAGTTTTCTGATGTTCTGTGTGTGTGCTGTGGATTTTGCTTTAATTTTGAACAAGTGTTGAATTCTGTCCAGTGCTTTTCCTACATCTCCTACATCTTTTGACATGATTCTTTTCTCCTTTTTTCTTTTACTATGAGTGCATGTTGATTGATTTCTGTATGTTAAGCAAAATAATATGTATTTTTTAAAAGATTTATTAAATGGAAAGGAAGAGTTAGAGCACTTCCATTTGCTGGTTTACTCCCTAAATGACCGCAATGGCTGGAGCTGGGCTGATTGGAAGCCAGGAGCTCTTGCAGGGCTCCCACGTGGGTGCAGGGTCCAAGGACTTGGGTCATCCTCCACTACCCTCTCAGGCACATGCCTAGTGAACTGGATTGAAAGTGGAGCAGCCAGGACTCAAACCAGCACCCACATGGGATGCAGCTTTTCCAGCTAGGCCATAGCGCCAGCCCCCAAATTTACATTTTGAAGGACAAGCTGTACCTGGTCATGGTCAGTTATCCTTTTGATATGTTGCCGTATCCCCCGAGCTGAGATTTCATTAGGGATTTTGCGAGTGAGTTCAGGAGAGATAATGGGATAGGGTTTTCTTCTGAGACTCCTGCCTGGTTTGGGGTCAGTTTATATTGGCCTTGTGAGAAGGGGTGGAGAGGGTTCCTTTCTCTTCTGGAAGAGTTCATGTACTGCTAATCTTTGGTCTTAATGTTCATGTTCATAGGTCTTTCCAGTGTTAGTTTATGGGAGGTTTATGAATTGTGAGTTCCATGTCTTAGTGGATTTAGGGTGTATGGAATACCACAGACCAGGCCTCAGTTCTGGAGACTGGGCGTCAGGTCTGACGGCATCGACAGGCTCCTCTCCCAGCCTTGTGGCTTCGTCTGGTGGTCTTCTCTCCTGTGTCTGTGTCCAGGTCTTCTTATCTTGGAAAAACCCCAGGCAGTCACACTGGACGAGGGCCCAGCTATATTTATCTTTTCCACTTCTTTAAATGATCTGACTCCATATCAGTCACGTGCTGAGGTCCTTGTGGTTAGGATTTCAACAGGAACATTGAGGGGACACAGTCCCACCCCTATCATAGGCTTATTCAGATCTTTGTGTGTTTGTGCAATAAATTCTATCTCACAGGAAATCCCCTTCACCTAAGCTGTCAAACCGACTAACATGGGTTACTTATATCTTATCCTTTTAATGTCTAAATAGTGATCTTCCCACTTTAATGCCTGGCACAGGGGATTTTTGTTGGTGATTTCTCTAAATACAGGTTCTGTTAGCTGTCGGTCGTGACTCCTGTACCAGGGACATAGGCTTGGAGAAGATTGGTGTCAAAATCAATGAGAAGTGAGTATATGCAGGGTCATTGCACTACAGCTGCATAAAGCAAAACTCGACTGCACAGCATCTCAGAAATTCTCATTTAATTACACAGACAGAAGATAATTTATCTTACAGTAAGTGCTGTGCTGTTTCTATGATATCAATGTTGTGATTCATCCATCAATAAGTCTTATTATGTGCCTTAAAGAGCTCATGCATTAAATGGTGATTCAAAAACCAGTTGTGGAGATATATTTGCCTACTGCCTGATTAAGAGTGATTTTTGATGCCCTGATCTAGTAGGGAGAAAATCTCTGATCTCTGAAAATGACTGGGGAGGATTCCAAAGGTGTCCTAGAGGCACCCCAAAAAACCAGTCCATCTTTCTTTTGGGTGGGCCCACTGAAACTCTGCTTTTGTTTCAGCCATTGAGACCGTAGACAGTTGATTACCTTAGGGGCGAGATTTCTGAGAAGGAAATCCTTTCTTTGGATAGTCTGTCAGGGGTGACTTTAGACTCCCAGCAGTGTAGAGTTGGTCACAATGTATTTGTTATCTATCAAAAAATGAATAGGAATGGCAAAATACCAGTCAATGACGTGGAGCAGACCAACGTGCCCTATGTCTATGCTGTTGGGGATGTCTTGGAAGGTAAACCGGAGCTCACGCCAGTGGCCATCCAGGCAGGCAAGCTGCTGGCTCGGCGGCTGCACGGGACCTCTTCAGAAAAGGTGAGTTTGTTGCGATTGTTTTTGAGATAAGCTCTTGATCCAAGCCACATTATAAAATAGCAGAAACACTCCCATGCTTGTTTTCCGGGTAAAGGGCCCTTCAAAGGGCGCCTCTGCAGTTGACTTATTACTTACTGATGGCTTGCAGTCAAGCAGTCTTTGAGTACTTGCTCCATGTGGGAGGGAGAGGTAGAGCCTGGGCCACTCCCGGGCAGGTGTCCAGTGTAGCGTTCCATCCATCCGTCCGTCAGGGGCTCACCCCCGTCCTCCTTTGGTGTGACTTCAGATTTCTCTGACATTGCTGATGTTGTAAGGATCAGTCATACTGAACTGGGCTCATTTATTTTCCTTTTATGAACAGATAGGATACAGATTTCTTTTTTAACTGAATGAAGTGTCAAAAAAACTGAAGCATGTGATCTGTTTATCTTTCAGTGTGACTATTCCAGCATTCCAACAACCGTGTTTACTCCTCTGGAGTATGGCTGCTGTGGGTTATCTGAGGAGAGAGCTGTTGAATTATATATGACAGAGAATCTGGAAGTAAGAGTGAATGTTACTGTTTCCTTTTTAAGAATTTTTGATCACTATTTGTCTTTGCAGTCACTTTTTATTTGTGATTTTTTTTAGGCTACTACAATGCTTATATTGTTGGAAATCATTTTCCTGTGTTGTGAGAATCAAAAATTAATTTAAATTCCATCTCTCTAGCAAGCTAATAAAACGTGTGGGGGGAATATGGAAGTATAATGTGAGATTTAGGTCTTTGAGTTACAAGTGCAAAAGTCTACTGAGCAGGCTGATTATACAGCAAGTGCCAGGTTGTTTGAAGATCCTGTGGGGGTGCAGGGGCAGGCACAAGCCAAGGCTTTAGGAACGGACAACAACTGGGAACCTGGAAGATCCTCCCCCCTGCTTCTTCTTTTACTTTCTTGGGGTTTCTGTGACATGTGCGCATACACAGCCGGTTTTTGTGTTCTGCAGACACAAGTTATTTGGCCCTGGGATGCCCTGAGCATCTGTCCTGTTCCTGAGCTTATCTGATAGTTTCCAGTGGAACCACTTTGACTCGCTGTTTCTCCCACAATGGGAGAGGAACTTGGGTGGGTCTGAGTTGCATCGGGTGTTCCTGCAGAGTCACTTTGATGTTGCTGTGATGGGCTTGGAGGGGAGGGGAGCCCGGGCCAGGGTGCAGCGCTCGTGTGCCTGTTCAGATTTGGTTTTATTTGCACCACCCACTCACTCCATAACCTCCTTCAGTCATAACCTTCAAAACGTTTTCATGTGTTGTTTTTTTTGGGGGGGCGGGGAGGGAAGCAGTTTGGTTAGCTGTTTTTCCCCTTCTTTTTTGTATTTTTTGTCTACCCTCCAAGAACAGGAGAGGATGGGGAAACAAAAAGAGTTGGATTATTAATGCTGGATGTTTCAAGTAAAAGAGAATTTAAGTCTCAGTTCTTTCCCTTGAAGGCATTTTAATTGTATAATTTAATTTATTACTAGGAATTTCTTTAAACCACAGCATTGATATTCCTTAGTTAAATGGCCTGAGGACTTGTTGAAACTCCTATTTACAATTCTGCTGTTGGGAAAATGTAAGATTAAAATTTTATAATGTTATTTTAGATGGTTCTTGAAATTTACATTTTGTAGGGCATTATTTCATCAGAATCCTATAATTAACTTCTCATAATAATGAGCCATTTCTTTAGGGTCTTGGGAAAATTGACTGTAATAATTGTACACTTATCACTTCATTTAAAAAGTTTTGAGATGAATGAGAAGTTCAGGTGAGAAAGTAGGCATCTGAGAGGAAGAATGGATAAGGGAATGTCCTGATATGAAGGAAAGTCTCCAGGTCCATGAGTTTCTTTGAGGTCTTTGTCCTACTTATTAATATTTGTAAAAGCTTAAAGAAGATTAAAACAATTTTATTTGAAAGGCAGAGTTTACATGGGAGCAGTGTCCCACGGCTTTGAGCTGTCCTCCACTGCTTTCCCAGGCCACAAGCAGGGAGCTGGATGGGAAGTGGGGTGTCGGGATTAGAACCGGCGCCCATATGGGATCCCGGTGCATGCAAGGTGAAGACTTTAGCTACTAGACTACCACACCAGGCCCAAGAACAAATTTTATATAACTGCATGTTATCAGATCCAGAGGTACCTGTAGTCCTCCTGGCATAAAATCACAGGGGCCCAAAGCAAGTCAGTGCTAATGCATTCATCTGATGGCTTGACTCAATTTAGAATTTCCAAGTATTTAAAATCAAGGTACTAACCTGACCTAATGAAAATCCCTTTAGACATCTAATGAAATCCTCGGTTTACTGGCAGATATAAACCATGTGTATAGATACTTGAAAGTCATCCTGGACCTGGTGCTGTAGCCTAGTGGCTAAAGTCCTGGCCTTGCACACACTGGGATCCTTTATGGGGAACAGGTTTGTGTCCTGGCTACTCCACTTCCCTTCCAACTTCCTGCTTGTGGCCTGGGAGGGAAGTGGGGGACAACCCAAAGCCTTGGGACCCTGGCACCCATGTGGGAGACCCAGAAGAGGCTCCTGCCTCCTGGCTTTGGATTGACTCAGCTCTGACCATTGTGGCCACTTGGGGAGTGGGCCAGCAGATGGAAAATGTTTCTGTGGATCTGACTTTCCAATAAATAAATAAATAAATAAATCTTTTTTAAAATTTTTTTTTTAAGATTTATTTTTATTATTTTTTCATTGGAAAGGCGGATATACAGAGAGGAGAGACAGAGAGGAAGATCTTCCGTCCGATGATTCACTCCCCAAGTGAGCACAACGGGCTGATACTATGCCGATCCGAAGCCAGGAGCCTCTTCCGGGTCTCCCACGCGGGTGCAGGGTCCCAAAGCCTTGGGCCGCCCTCGACTGCTTTCCCAGGCCACAGGCAGGGAGCTGGAAGGGAAGCGGGGCTGCTGGGATTAGAACCAGTGCCCATATGGGATCCCGGGCGTGCAAGGCGAGGACCTTTAACCACTTGCGCCACCGCGCCGGGCCCAGTAAATAAATCTTTTAAGGAAGAAAGTCACCCTTTGCCTGTTTGTCCCCAGCAATTCATTAATCACCAGGAAGCCCTTGTGGTTCTCCTTCAGAATGTGTCTCAAATCCATGTATTTATTTCATTTCTGCTGTCGCCATCCTGTTCCAATCCACCATTATCTCTTGTCAGTACTACTGTGAAAGCTTTGCCCTCTCCGGTCCGCTCATCACTTTATCCAGCGTCCTGTCTTAGACGAAGCCAGCATGGCACCTCCGCTCTTGGAATTCTCTCCTGACACTAGCTTGTGTTTGCTGTAAGACACAGACTGTGTCATTAGAGCATTCGTGCTTCTTAAGCAGGTTGCTCCTGATACTCATGCTTGCAACTCTTTGTCACACTCAGGTACTTGGTTTGTCCCAAAGTCTCACCACGTTCTGCACTTGGCGCGATCGCTGTGTTTCTCGTTTCCTTTGCTTGCTCTCTATTATGCTAGGTGGGAAAAAAAACCGAATTAATCAACATACCCGTGGCATCAGAGAGAATATTCTCCAGCAGAAATAGATAAACATATGCAGTGTGTTCTTCTGTGGTGCAGTAGTTTTGTATCTGATGGAACAGTGTGGGAGATGAAGTGGTGGAGGAAGAAAAGCGTGAGATTTCTAGGTCTGAAGTTCAGATTTTCTCCCTATTTCATAGAAGAAAAAAGCAGGAGAATTTTGCTGACACACATTGTTAAGGACAAATTGCGAACCAGAAACATTTTATCACCTGATTAGAAAATTCATCTAATCTCAGAAATATTACATAGAAAAGGTTTAGATAATTATATGTGGGAAAAGAAAGTCAAGGAAGATGATGTGCAGGGATGATCCAACAGAAATATATCTGCTACTCTTTGGTGGAAAAATCTACTAGTATAGAAACAGAATTCTAAAATATAACAGAAGAAAATTTGTCTCTGGTTGTAAGGGACAGCTGTATCTAAAAGACTAGTACAACATACTTATTGTGAGATAAGTTAATGTTGATTGATTGTCACAAACATGCCCTCCTTAAGGTATTGATCTTTAGGAATCCAGACTGAGAAAGCCATTTGTCCACAATGGGTGAAGACTCGGGCTGGCCTCACCCTTTTCAAGGACACAGGACGGTCAGTGTCAGCCTCTACCACCAGAAGGGAAACTCACAAAGGCCTCTTTTTATGACAGCGGTGACGTTGGGTTAGGAGCTCGCCGGCTCTAGTATGACCTCATCCTGGTGATATCTGAAATCCCTGTTTTACCTCCTCCCCACAACCCGCGGGTCAGGGCTAGAAATTCAACCATGAGTTGGGGATGATGCAGGTGATTTTGTTAGCAGTGTAAAAAGAAGAGGAAAGCACATTAATAGGAAGAAAATTTGAGAAAAATTATCCCCCATGGAGTCCAGAGAGTTTTTGGTCATATACGTTAAATCTAAAATATCTAAAGGAAAAATTATGGGAAAGAAATAAAGAACATGGGAAAATGATGTCTGAATAAAGAACATCAGTGGAGAAATGAGGAAAAGCAACCACATAGAAATTCTGAAGCCAAAATGGTTTAAGAACTAACTGAAATTTTTACTAGGGGGATTCAGAATCAGATTGGTGCGGGTTGAAAGAGAAGCAATGAATTTGGAGTCCGTTGAAACTATCCAATCTGAAAAGCAGAGGGGAAAAAGGAATTACGAGAAGTGGAGAGCGCCTAAGCGGTGTTTGTGGCACAGAGAAGCGCAAGCACTGCGGGCACCGCATCACATTGCAGGAAGTGAGGGGCAGGAAAAGGTTGGGAGAATTAGTGGCCCAAACTTTCCGGATGTGATGAAAGGTGTGAACCCACATGCCCGCCTGCTCTCACAACATTACACAGGATGAATTCCGAGAGATTCACACCAGTACACGTTACAGTCAAACCGTTCAAACTCGGAGATAAAGTTCTGAAAGAGAGAAGTAACTCCTTACACACAAGGTATCTCCAGTAAGATCGAACGGTCACCTCTGTATCACAAATTATGGAGACCAGAAAGCTAAGGGTATGTTTAAAGCCTGGAAAGAAAAATTATCAACCAAGAACTCTCTGTAGAATTACATCTCCTGAAAAACAGAAGCCAAGGTAATTGATGCCTCAAAGAAGTACCGAAAAGGCTGCAGCTTAATATGAAAGGCACTCAAGGGTGACTGACATGCGTGTAAAGGAGCTGGCGCTGCGTCAGGCAGTGGCACAGGTAAACGGGAAAACCAGTTTTATCATTCTTTCATTTTGCTTTGTAACTTTCTTTTTCCTAAGTAGTTTAAAAGGCAGTAGGAATTAAAACAGTAATTATAAATATTCTAATGAGTGCACAAGGGAGCCTTAAAGAGTTCATGAAAAAATATAATTACGTTTATTTTGAAATTTTGCAGAAAAAGTTAAGGTTTCTTCATAGCCTTTTTACAAAATACACATTTTCTGTGGACTTTCTGAGGCTGTCTTGAAAATTATATATAGAGTTGTAATCTGTGACAATAAGATTATATAAAGGAAAAGGGACAAAAACTAAATTAGTGCTTAGATTCCACAAGTTGAGGATGTTAATTGTAATCCCCAAGGTAACCACTGAGAAATAACTAAATATAAGCAGAAAAGGAAAAGAAGGAAATAAAAAAAAATGGTGCTGTACCAAAAAAGCCCTGAATACGAATGAAGAAATTGAGCCCCAAATATACTCCCTTCCTTTGTGTTACTGTTTCCATGAATATCATTTTCTCTCCCACTTGCCATGTGTGTAATCTTTGTTACTATTTGCATGGAATAGCGTTTCTGTCTTTTTAATTTTCACATTTGTAAATTTGTGTTTTTGTACCTACAGTGAGTTTCTTTACACAGTGTGTAAATGGATTCAGTTTTTGTTTTGTTTTTACCAAATCTGCCCATCTTGGAGCCAGCATCAGGCCCGGCAAACTAAGCTGCTACTGTGAGGGCAATAGGCCATGTTGGAGTGGCAGTTTGAGTCCCAGTTGTTCGGCTTCTCATCCAGCTGCTAGCTAATGTGCACGGGGAGGCAGGAGATGTCCGCCCTCGTCCTGGGCCCCTGCCACCCATGTGGGAGACCTGGGTTCCTGGCATAGGTCTGAACCACCCCTGGCCACTTGAGGCATCATGCTCAATTTGTCTCTCTCTCTCCCCTTCAAATAAAGAAAGAAGTCTTTTAAAAGATATCTTCTGGTCTCCACTGTTTAATTGAAGAAATTTGTGTATTTACATATAACCTGAGTACTAACAAGAAGGGTTTATCTCTTTAAGGAATCTATTTGGAAGTTATTCCCATCAGGTATTTCAGCAAATGAATCTTGGGGAGGAAAGGACGCAATTGAACCCTTAATAGAGCTAATAAATGTATTCATCAAAGTTGAGGCTATAACATCAATACACAAAATCAGTTGTCCATATCTGCAATGAATTATCCTAAATGAAAACACAATTGCATTTATAGGAGCATCAAAAACAATAAAATACTTAGAAATAAATTTATCCAAAAGAGATGAAAGATATGTAGTCTGTAAATTACAAAACATTGCTGAGAAATTTTAGAAGACTTAAGTAATTGAAAAGGCATTTCCTATTCATAGACTAGAAGAAATAATATTGAAATATAGGATAAAGTTAGGATTGATAAACAGACAGGTCTGTGCTCAAACAAAACATTCTTTAATCCAGTGGGGATAGAAAATTGTGTATGAGAATAAGATAATCATAGTTTACTATGTGACTGCTGTGAATAGCTTGGTGTGGTTTTTTTTAAGTAATAGCTTTTATTGAGTTTGGGACTTACATATACCATATAATTTATTACTTAAAGTATATTATCCAATGAGGTTTAGCATATTCTTAGTATATTTAGTATGTTCTCTTGTGGAACCAACACAGTAGTTCAAAGAACATTTGGATCCCTCACAGAGAAATCCTCTCTCCATCCTGTTTCCTGCCATACCCCTGAGCCTTGGCTCTACTCTGAGGACCCTAATGCATTTCCAGTTTCTGCAGATCCATCAGGGCGATTTTAAATAGACAGAATCATTCAGTTTGTGGTCCTCTGGGACCAACTTCCATCTCTTGGTGTGATGTCTTCAAGGTTCCTTCGCCTTGTGGGTGGGTTTCACTTATTGTCTTTGGGTAGGCTGTACCATGTTCATTTATTGGCAATTTGGACAACAGGTGGGCATTTGAGCTGTTTCCACCATTTGGTAATGACGAATGATGTGGCTCTGAGCCTTCGGGTCCAACGCCTCTCGTGGGCACTTTGTCATTTCTCCAGGGTGTGCGACAAAGTAGAATATGGGGTAGCTATGAAAAGCCAAAAAGCCAGGAGTTGAAGAGGCTGGGGGTGGGGTTGTTCTCAGAGCACTGGGGGTGTGTGTAGCTCTGTTGTCGCTTCGATTTCAAAGTCCTGTCTTCGGCATTGCAAGCCTCCAGTCTGATTTAAGCCGCCGTGTTTATTGCAGTGTCTCAGGGCGGCCTCGGCAAACAAAAGCAGCTTCCAAGGGGGCCTCCTGGAAGGTTTTCTTTTTCACTTTTTTACAAATTATTTTTATTAAAAAAAAGTTTATTATTTTCCATGGTACAGTTCTGTAGGTATAGGGATTCCTGCTTTCCCTCCCCGTTTTGCCCCCTGTTATTACAGTAGTACAGACCTTTAACAGCAGTTACAGGTTTAGCACTCTGGTCCTGAGTGTATCATTACGTTGTAGACAGAGGTAGATAATCTAATGTGCATTGAACTGTTTCACCAGGACTCCTCCTTTTACTCAGGAATCAAGTTGCCTATTGCAACATCTCTTCACTTCCGGATGTGTTTGTCTCCATTACAGAGTTCATCTATCAGAAAATATGCATATCCTTGAATGGCTGATAGTACTGAGCTTCCTTTCATGTACTTTCTAGACATTTGCATATTTTCTTTGAAGACCCGTCTGTTTAGATCATTTGCTCTTTTAAAAATTGGATTAACTTGCCGTTTGTCTTGTTTCTGAGTTAGAGGTGCTCTGAACCTGTGCATGTGTATTCTGCACGTGAGTGCCTTAGAGAAGGTGATTTCCATTTTTTGTCCTTTTCTGGAGTTTGTTCTTTGAAACACAAGTCATCGGTTTTAATGAAATGTCATGTAAGCATTTTTAAAACTGCTTTTAACTCTTGGATGTAAGCACGAGTGGGCCCTTCCGAGTTCACCTTGGCTCTCGTGACGTGAGGGAACAGCTTCATCTTCCCACAAACCTTTGAACTTATGTGGGGACTTTGCCAGCTCAGAGTGTAGCCATAGATGGGGGTTGGCACGTGGGTGCTCAAAGCGTAGCAGGCTGGGGAGCAAAGAGAATGAGATCCTGATGCTTGTCTCCCAGAGAGACAGGTGGGCGGAGAAAACCTAGAACCCAGGCCAGTGACAGCCGAGAGTCCCGCGCCTCTTCGGGGATGCAGTGTGACACCAGGTAACAAAAAGCTGCAATGGTGACCCAAGCGCAGAGTGAAACGAGTGAAGCAGAGATCACATAATCAAGTTCCAAAACTAATTTAAAGCACCTTAAAAAAAAAAAAAAAAGCACAAAGCACTGTTAGGAAGACTGAATAAAGAGTGTAATGAAGAAAGGCCCTGATTAGATGCTAAAATGTAGCACATAGTCGTAGTAATTTCAGGTGTGCTGCAGTGGCATCCAGGTGGGCAAAAGATGAGTGGAACAGAATACGAAACCCCAACCAACAGATTGAAACGCTCACACGAATCAGCGCGTGGCAGAGGACGGATTCCATATCAGCGTGAAAAGACTCGTTAAAGCACGTTGGAATAAGCAGATAGGGATTCAGCAGAAAAACGAAGTTGGATCCAGGGCCTTGTGCCTACTTTGAAACAGGGGTGCAAGCCTCCAAGCAAAATTTGGGAAGTGCTAGAAGGCAAAAGTACATTTCATGAAACTAAAGAGAGTGAAGGAGATGCGGAAAGGCGTGTGTGTGCTCACGTCTCCTTATTTAAGGCGGGAGGTGACGGGACACGCCCATAAATGTTCCGGCCGTGTCTAAACCTCACAGAGTTCCCTCCATTATTTTTTTGTTTCGGCCTTAGGGGTGTATTTTTCAGAATGAGGTAAAGAAACTATTTTCTGCTCTTAATAATCACAAAGAATGAAGAATTTCTGTTAAGACAGGTGAAAGACTTTTTCTCTTGTGTTAAATGTATGTCAAATCTTAATTGCTTTTGTTACAAGTAACTGTATTATACCCTTTTAATGAAAAAAAAATTATTTGTACTGCAAATGGAGTAACCATCGATGCCTTACTTTACACATTTAAAATTACTGTTTCTCAGTGGGATTTTAAATAATTTGAATTTCTCTATTGTGGATTATAGCTCCGAATCCATTTCTTCTGTCACCAAACATAGCTGTCTGGGTGGAGTGGTTGAGGGAGCGACACAGGGAGAAGGTGGCTGCCCTGGGCAGGCCGGAGGAGCGCGCCCAGCTCGCGTCTGGTTCTCTGAGCACCGAGCCACGCTTGCCGAGGCTCCAGGGGTCACTGAGGGTGCAGGCCTGAGGCCTGGGGGACAGAAACACATGTACAGGGTGTCATCCCTGCTTCCTAACTCTAGATGACGCTCCAGCTCTTTGAGTGATCGACCTTGTGTCGTTTCTTCTCTCTAGATTCCCTTTACGTAAAGACTGTAGGCAGGTGGCCAGGCTATGCAAGGCCCCGTCTGGGCCACACAGAGCCTGGGGTGTGGCTGTGGATTGGTGCTACTCCATAAATGTCTCCACACCGAATTCTGCTTATTGGTCTGTGTTTTGCTTCAGCTGAGCCAAGCAGAGGTCAGCACTTTGGTGCAGCTGGTGTGTCCGGGGCTGCGGCCTCCGAGCTCCCATCAGACATATGGTGCGGAGATTGTTCACGGCAGATAAAAAGAACACGGGGGTGGCTTTCATCCGTGTTAATTCAGCCTCTTTATCTCCTCTTCCAGGTGTATCACACTTTGTTCTGGCCTCTTGAATGGACAGTAGCCAGCAGGGACAGCAATACTTGTTATGCCAAGATAATCTGCAACAAACTCGACGATGTATGTATGCGTGGGAGCTGAGATACTGTCATTGCTGAGTGTAGCTTTTACTCTCCCTTGTTTGGATTTTAATAATTTCCTTAAAGATAGCTTTAAGGGCAAGACAAAGCTCCTTCACACCGTTTGCCAGTCACTGTGTCTGCAGGTTGTAGAGGGATGGTTTGTTAAAGGGATTTGCCAGTCCCATCTTCAAACACATCATTAGAAGTTGTCTGGTGATTCACTTCCCCCAACGCCCATGAGAGCCGAGCTGGACCAGGCTGACGCAGGCAGCTCGGGAGTTAGTCTGGCTTTTCCATGTGAGTGGCAGGGATCTGATTACCTGATCCATCACCACTGCCTCCCACATGAGCAGAAAGCTGGAGTTGGATGTGGATCGGGGGCTTGAACCCACCCGGACGCTCCTGTGCATTGTAATCACTGCCCTGAATGTCTGCTCCCTCCAGGCTGCCTTGATAGCTGGCTAATTCTAAACTAGTGTGCCACACGCCTTTTCAAGGAGACACACCAAGTGAAACTCTTGGGAATCGAGCTGGGGAGGTAAGACATGGACACAGGTGGACCTCAGCAGCGCAGCTGACACTGAATGTGGTTCACTAAGTAGCGCAGCCATTCTCTAGGGTAATTCTCTCCTGTCTCAGCACTCTCAGTTCAAGTACAACCAGAGACACATGTCACAGGCCGACAGCCGGCGTGGTGAAGCTACTCAGAGCCTCAAGACTTCTGCCCTGGCTGGAGCTGGGTGCAGGCCACTGCGGTGACAGGAGGCACTGGTCACAGTGACCCAGATGCTGCAGGGTGACAGATATGCAGCATCTTCCGAGGGCCAGTGTCACAGGTGTCTGGCTGCGTTCTGATGCTTTCTGAATGTGTCCTCTGAAACTGATACTGTGGCAGGTGTGGGCAGCCTTTCCAGAGGAACAAGGAGAGGCTGTCAGGCCCCAAGAAAATGAGAGGGCCTGGGGATTGGCTGGTGGAGCCACTCCAGAAGCAGGTCACTGTGAGGCACCATCCCAGCGCTTCTTTCCCCATCTTTCTTTCCTACTCTTCCTGCTGCCTTCAGCTCCCAGCCGGACCCCAGCTCACACCCTCTGGCCTCTGCTTGCCTCCCTCTATCCATTCCCGAGTTTTACCCTAGTCCTTACGGAATGGAAACCTGAGTTTCCTGCTGGCAAAGCTGTGTGGTGTCCCTAGCATAGCAGCGTGCCTTCCTTTCAGTGGTCAGTGGGGATTTTCACCAAATGTCCTTGCTTTTCTCTGGGCTGCTCCTCACTTCCGGCTTGCTATATACAGAAGGCAGGACTGCATGAGCTGGGCGAGCAGCCCCCTGTGAGGTCTTGGGAACTGCACATGGCACCCATAACATGGGTGCTCTCTGCCTGCCACATGTGTGCCAGGTGGATGTGTGTGGCATTGGCTGTTCTGAATGTGGCTTTCTGTGCAGAATTTGCGTGGGCCAAGATTTCTGCTGGCATTGGCCATCGCAGTCCTTTTCAGTACTCTTTCTGTTGTACACCTTCGCTCCTGAAAATCAGAAGCAGAGTCTGATGCAAAGCTATCAACGAAGGGACAGCCTCAAATGCACTGACACCTTGGAAATGAACTAAAGTCCTGCTTCCCGTCTCAGGGGAGTGGAGAGGGTCTGCTGGTGATGTCACTGAGATCCATGCAGCAGGCAGTCCTGGCGCACGGCACCACGTTGGCCCCCCGTTGGCCTCTGCATGAGGTCCTGGGCTTCCTGGGCTGGCAGTCTCTGTATTGCCAGAACAACCTAACACCTCAGAACTATTCCAGCGTTGGACTTTAATTCAGATTTGTTATGTTGTTGTTTAGCCCTATCTCAGCATAATTTGGAAATTTACATCATACTAATGAACTCCTTCATGCAGTGGGTAAATTGCTTGTTCTAGTAAATTTGAGTGCAAATTAACTCTGGATGTGCATTTACTGGCTCATTTAGCAGATTGTTACAGCGGCTCCGTCCCCCCCAAGTAGCATTCCTGGCTCAGTTCAACCTGAGAGTTGTTTTCTCTGAGTTCTAGACTCTTGACAGTTTCCACTGTGAACTTGTGGCAAGTAGATTCCAAGTCAGACCATTAACCTCCTGGGACCCTGTGTGCTTTGTTCCTGTGTGATAGAATCGGGTGATAGGATTTCACGTGCTTGGCCCCAACGCTGGTGAGATTACCCAGGGATTTGCAGCTGCCATGAAGTGTGGGCTCACGAAACAGCTTCTGGATGACACCATTGGGATCCACCCCACGTGTGCGGAGGTAGGAACCAGGAGGGGACACTGTGAGAGAGCGTAAGGTCCAGAAGATTCTGTGCTTTGAGTGTTTTCATGTTTAGCCAAGACAAGATATTCTGAGTGTCCTCCGGCAGCAGCCCTGATGTCTAACCGAACGTTCCTCCGGCTTCCTTCCTGGTAAACAGGTATTCACAGCGCTGGAGATCACCAAGTCCTCGGGCCTGGACATCACTCAGAAGGGCTGCTGAGGCTAGTCCTGCTGCTCCTCGGTCATCCTTGTCACGCTCTCGGGCAACAGGGGCCACCCTCTCCATCCACTCCTCACTCGGGGCTCCTCCCCCGCGCCCAGGTAAGAAGGAAGACAAGGAGACAGGACAGCAGCAGGTGGCACCTCCCACACCTGGCTGCCTGGAGAAGCAGAGCCGCTGCTTCCTTGACGCCCTGGCTCAGAACCCGCTGCCGGCGAGCCATGGCCGATTCTCCTGCAGGTCGGAGTGCACCGTTAGCCAAGTTCGCTTTTCTCATTCCTTGCATCGTCACCCTCATCCCATGCTGTTTATATGAAAATATATTTTCTGTTATGAAACTGACTATAAAGCAGCAGCTGTCAGTGTGTGGGCCAGGCACGTGGGTGAGTGGGCTCTATGGCAATGTGGAGAACAAAGAACTGGGTACAGGTTGCAGTGGGCCCATGCTCCCTTGGCACCGTTAATCCTGTGCGTGCGTGCCCTGCCTCTTCTCTTCTCTTCTCTGTGTCCTCAGGGTGAGCCCTGGGAAGCCACTGTCCTCTCTAGACCAAACAGTAGTTCAAGCAAGAGTACACAGATGTCTTCCTCGTGTCAGTCTTAAAAGAACTTAATATTTTAAAAAGTATTCGCTGCTGTCTCAGGGGAGATCTAAGGCCTTGTCAAGTGTCCAGTTACGATTCATTCAGTGGCAGCCAGGTTCAGGATGCCTCATTTGATTTTACAGTCATTTCAGGGTGTACTGCCCCGTGTACTGTCCCGTGAACAGTCCGGTTTTCCTAGAGGGGCTGCTACACAGAAGCTCAGCGCAGGCATCCGGAGGCCCTCGCTCTCCTGAACGACACCCTGACCATTTAGCTCAGTGCTACAGGCTTGGATAGTTCAATGTCAACTTTCTAGACATAGCTGTTTTTGTTTGTTTTGATGGTTAAATCAGTGGGCAGCAGGGCCACAGCATCTGTGAACGAGCAGTACTCCTGGAAGCAGGTGCTGCAGCCCCAAGAGCAGTGGCACAAGATTCTGTTACTGCGGAGAGAAAAATAGAAAAGTGACTCTAAGAGGTCGGGCCAGGTAGAGATGGCTGTGACAGTGAGGACCAGGGAATTGATTGGATGTGAGTGGGGATGGAGAGATTGGGGGAGTTTATTAAGGAGGCAGTGATTCGAGCCAAGCAGCAAGGGATGAATGGATTTCAGAGATTCAAAGCAATAGGCAGAGGGTCCAAGTGGTGCTTTCAGAGTGGCTAAGATGCTGGAGGTGACACAAAAACTTGGGGGCTGCTGTACTGCTGAGCACCACTGTCGCCCACACAGATCCAAGATTTTCCAGAATTCCAAAGGAAATGAGGCAGAAAGCCTGAAAGCCTTGAACTTGTGCTTTGCGCTCAGAAGGGTTAACCCCAGTTGACCCCAGGCATAGCCCGGGCGAAGTTTCTGATGGGGAAAGCGGTGTGCAAGGCCAGGACCTCAGTGGGAGAGTGAGGGAGAAACCAGCTGTTCCACAGGCAGGTGGCCATGGCTCCCTGGCCACTCACTGGCCACTCCCTGGCCCAGCTGCAAAGCAAGGCTCCACCCGGAGGATGGGGAGCTCTGGTCCCGGCTGCAGACAGCTGAGGAGGCCAATGTTGTCTGCGAGGACAGCAGAGTCGGCACGTACTCTCACAGGCTCCCTCCCACACCTTTCTTTTCCTCCTCTGTTTCTCCCACCCCCACCCCTGGGCCCCTTTGTTACTCTCCTGAGCTAGGTAGGACCCCTGTATAATGGGGAGAGATGAGTTTTAGCTGGAAGAGAAAGTCTGTATACACTTAATAACACAGAGACCTTCAAGAACGAAATGATATCCTCCGCTGTGGTGGAGCTTTTAGTCGACTTGTATAATTCAATGGCTCAAACACACCACACACACACACACACAATCAGAAAAGACAGAGATCTGAACAGTAAGTACAGTGTGTAGTAGCCTTGAGCGAGTGAACTTGTAAAGACTGGGTTCAATAAGACAACATACTCGTTCCTCTCTCTCTCTCTCTCTCTCTCTCTCTCGGTTATCTTGGATTTATTTTTATTTGAAAGAAGAGACACACAGAGGACTTCCATCCACAAATTCATCCTCCAAATGGCTACAGGGGCCAGAGTGGGCCGTCCTCTGCTGCTTTCCTCGGCCATTAGCAGGGAGCTGGATGGAAAGTGGAGCAACTGGGACTCAAACCTGCGCCCATGTGAGGTGCAGGTACTGCAGGTGGAGACCTAACCTGCAATACCATGGCACTGGCCCCAGAAAGCATACTCCTTTCAAGTCAAAAGTGTATCCTGTTCTAGGCCATAAGGTTAACAAATGCTGAAGAGGCTTGGTCTTCTGGTAGGCCCTCTGGTGACCTGCCAGAGGTGACAGAAGGAATCACTTTGCTTTCCCTCATCTTCGTTTGTGAAAGGTGGACAGCATTGCTCGGTTCACAGACTTGCAAGAACTGAACGACGTTTATTAGGTTGCCAGCACACAGTGCCTCGGGGTGGGGTGCCCTGGCTGCTGAGACCTTGAGTCAGGACTCTATAAAGACAACGTCTGGGATGATGCAGCTGCGAAGCCAGTAGGTGTCCACAGAGGATGCCCCATGTCGTCCGCGCCCATGTCCACCATGCTGGGCAGCACAGGGCCGAAGTGTTGGTCTGACCCCTGGGAGATGGGGCCTTAAAGCACCTGCAGCTTCAGTTTTCCTGCTCATGCCCCGTCTCTGATCACTTGCTCTGGGGAAGAGCAGCTGTGGGATTAGGAAACCCCTGGGAAGCCCCTGCAGAGCCCACATGGTGATGAGAACTCCAGGCCATGGTCAGCAACAGACAGGTGTGGCAGCACCCTTGGGAGTAAGTGTGGAGACCCACCTGCAGTCAAACTCTGTCCAGGCTGGCGGCCTAACCGTGTCATTCTGAGAGATGCTGGGCTAGAACCTTCCAGGTCTGGCTACTTCCAGCTCCCTGGCCCTTGGAAACTGAAAAAACAAATCTTTATAATTTAGGCTTCTTTCAGTGCAACTTTTATGCAATAGTGTGTGTTTATAAAATAACGTTAAAATTACTGGTACCGATCAGCTCAGATAGCCAAAGTGTGTTGGGTGATCATATTGGTCAGACAAAATAATCCTTACACAATGCAGAAACTTCCACAAGAGGGGATTGGCACTGGAAGCTGGAGTGGCACTCTACAGCATAACAAAGAGACCCTAAGCAGGGAAGCTGGGAGGCCTCAGTGGGGCATGTCGGAGCCATGGGCTGGAGCGATGCCGGGTCCTGGCTCAGCATCCTGAGAATGTCTGTGACTGTCAAGGATGAGTAAGGCAGGCGAGCAGGAAGACAGGTGCCTCCCACGGAGCTGTGCTTGTTAAACTCAGCCAGGAGGAACATGGCCTAGACTCAGTCTCTCAAAGGAGAGTGAGGGGAGGGCGCTCCGAGGGCTGGGGGGCCAGGGGCAGGGGTGAGTCCTCAAGGAGGGATAGGGCAGAGGAGAGTCAGCGGGGCTTGGAAGCCATCAGTGGGAATATGTCAAGGAGGCAGATGGCCGTCAGTGGCCTGACCTTCGGAACTCAGCATGGACAAGGCCATGCTGCCAGCCTGGTACCATGGTCTCCTCTTGGAGATCAGGCCCCTGTGTGATCAGGCCCCTCTAACCAACAAGAAAGCCCAGAGGCTGCATTATTTGGGGACCAAGGGGAACTCAAAACTGGGACCGCCCCAGCCCTGATCCCTAAAGCCCTGCCCTTGAAAGCCCAATCCCGTCTCCTTTCCTTGTCTCCCTTGGCTGTCTTTAGTCCAACCTGCCCTCCCTGGACGCTGCCTCACGAGAGCCGTGGATCTGTCCGTGGCCTTCAGGCTGTGCAAGGTCAAAGACCATGATGACAGACCCACAAGCCCACCCTGTTCTCTGCGGGGGCAGATGTCAGAATTGGCACCGCAAGCTGATGACTAAATGACAATACTGCTGGGCATGGAAGGGCGTGGGTAGCACCAAAGCAGGGACTTGGTCCTCCTGCCTGGCTGCCCACTGGCTTTGCTGGATCCTGGCTGGCAGGCAGTGTGCACCACTGCTTGGTCTCCTGAATTTCCCGAGCTTCTGTCGAAGATAGAACTGAGCCCTTTTGGGGACCTTGATCACTGGTACATAGGATTGGAGGATGGGACTGGAGCTCTGAGGTGGTTCCGGATTGTGTGTCTTTATCCAGGTCTGTCTGAGACTGAGTTGGATTGGGGTGCTGCAAAGAGCTGATGGATATAAAAAGTTTGTTTTGAGGGCCCAGTGCCATAGCCTAGTGACTGAATCCTAGCCTTGTATTCCCCGGGATTCTATATGGGCACTGATTCATTTCTTGGCTGCTCCACTTCCCATCCACTTCCCATCCAGCTCCCTGCCTGTGGCTTGGGAAAGCATTGGAGGACGGCCCAAAGCCTTGGGGCCCTCACCTGCATGGGAGACCTGGAGGAGGCTCCTGGCTCCTGGCTTCGGATCAGCTCAGCACTGGCCATTATAGCCAGTTGGGGAGTGACCCAGAGAATGGAACATCTTCCTCTCTGTCTCTCCTTCTCTCTGTAATTCTGACTTTCCAATAAAAATAAAATCTTTTTAAAAAATTTACTTTGATGTAAAAATATTTTGAAATGGGTGCACATGAGCAGGGAGCATGTTGGGCTCTGAGTTGGGCCAGTGTGGTGCCATCTCTCTGAACTTGCCCGTTAATAGACTGTGGTTTTATCGAGGCTCCCGATTAGCTCAGAGTGAGCCTCAGCAGCATTGATGGACTGTCACAGGCTTCGTTCTGGTCCCAGTGTGACTAGATCTCGGCAGGGATGGCTGGGATTAGCATCCAGGGCTGCTGGCAGCTGTATTGCGGTTATTGGAGCCACCTGCTTGGGTTCCTCCGGGCTGTACCAGGCGGCCTGTAGCCTCGGTCACATCTCTGAACCCTGTCCGCACCCCCGCCCCAGTCCAGCTTAGCTGTTGAAGCTGGGTAGCAGTGAGTTCTATTCCATTTGTCGTCTGTCACGCTACCTGCGTGGCTGTGCGGCTCAGGAAGGTTTCTGCCTTAGGGGGTGGGCTCAGGACGGCAGCGTGGCATTTGTGTACCAGGCGATGTGGGTCTTCAGATGAGGTCCCTGCAGGAGGCCGGGGCTGCTGTATAGTAGGAGCGGGCTGCAGGACAGCAGCCCAGCCGGGTCACCTGCTCCTGGCCCACCTGCCGGGACTCCATGGCCCCAGACCATCCTAAGGCACAGATCCCTCCCTGTGTCTGCTCTGTGGGAGGTGATTGGATGCAGCCCGACCCCGGAGGGCCACCTGGTTACACCAGC